AAAGTTGAGACAAGCCCATTTTGCTTGTAATGGAATATTGGAAGTTATTTTGAAATTGTGTTCACGGAGGGGCCTCTATCTTAGTATATATTATTTCACTGAATACCAACTCTAACCCACATTGTCTTCTGATGCCTCCACTCCATGCATCTCTCTCAATAATATAAATTTGAATTTAATTAACAGAATCTCAGAACAGACATTGTTATGGACGTTGGATGCAGCATAAATCCAGCTGTGGATATAGGACAGGTATGTGCAAAGAATTTTCTGCTGTCTTATTTCTGTTACATTGATATCCTTATCTGAAGTGAGAATTACCTCATTAGTTCAGAAAACATTCATTTCTTACTAGATTACAGAATCATAGATCATATTTGAAGGTCTTTTGCTTATAGACTTGCCCCATTTGAGTTAGTGTCAGAGCTTTGTAGATGTCAATGAAGCTTGAATTTTACCCATGAAGATAATGTGTAATATGTATATATGCCTATTGTCTACTGGACTTAAATTCTGTTTGTGGTCTGCAGTCTCCAAGTTGTTTGACCTGCCCTGCCCACTTGATAGCAGGGAAATACCTTTATTCATTGCAGGCTGGTCCACAGATCTCATCACTTCATCATGAAAGCATTTGTCCTCTCGGGTATGAGAGAGGAGTGTGAAAGCTTTTATTGTCACAGCTGCTCCAGAATGTTGAAGAATCGCATTAGTCAAAGAGAAAAGAAAAAGGCTTTCTAACAGATGATGAAACAAATCAGTTCTTGACAAAGTTTTACTCACTGAACCAAACATAAATACTAAATGCTATTTCTTATCTTATTTAAAGATTGAAGGTGCTTTTGTTCAAGGCATTGGACTGTACACAATGGAGGAATTAAAATACTCTCCAGAAGGAGTCCTCTGTACTCGAGGTCCAGATCAGTATAAGATCCCTGCTGTTTGTGATATTCCAGAACAGTTTAGTGTTTCCCTGTTGTCACCTTCCCAAAATCCTTATGCCATCTATGCGTCCAAGGTAAGCAAAACATCACAGAACCTAATTTTAAATCCCAGAACAAACAGAGAAATTACTCTGATATAAAACATGTATAAGTTTTGAGTTCTTCTTCTTTAGCATTTCAAACAAGTGTCCAGTAAATTGTTTTATTTATGACATCAGGAAAGCTAATAAGAAAAGACATAATGCGAGATATTGTTGCATCACTTTCATGATTGGCAAGTAGTGATTTTAGGGTTTTGTTAACAGACCATTTGGGACCCCTGGTGGCCTAGTGGTTAGCATGCAGGACTCTCACCCCTGCGACCCAGGTTCGAATCCCAGCCAGTCCCCCGGGCAGATGGAGCTCGTTAGCCCTGTGAGGCCATCCATCTATGAGAAGGTCACTCTAAACAAACCTACGTCCTGAGGACCTCACTGCCATTGTCCAAGCTTGCTTGGCCCCGGCAGATGAACCTTAGGATTAAAGGGTGGGCTCAGTTCAGCGCATGCTGTGTCTCACCTAAAAAATCCATTGCGCAGGCTGGAAAGGTAAAAAGACCTTTCCCCAAATCTTCGTTCGCGAAGACTGGCCATTATTATATATTATTATTATTTATTATTAACAGACCATACACAGAAGCTACAAGCTGAATTTGAAACCATACTTCTAAAATATGGTGATAAACTGAAGGGTTAGAACAAAAATACTAAAGCAATGGATGGAGAAATCATAATGCCAATGAGAGTGTGCAGCTTACTTGTGTGTGCTATGCAACACAAAATAGGACTGCACGTGTGTATTTACATGAGAGACTGGCTCAAGTCTTCACTTGGTGTAATCATTGTTTCAATTTACACCAGCAAATATTCTGGTCAGTTTCATATAAATAGTAATGGTCAATCAATATGAAGGTAATTCTGAAAATTTCCATCTGTTCCAAGTATTAGGTATGCTTTTAGAACACAGTAAAATGAAACAGCACAATAGAAGGAAAAAGCATATTTTACAGCAAGAGTTAATAAAGAACAAAAATATTATTAAAGAATATTATTAAAGATCCTTCAAAATTATTTAAAGCTGTCTGAGTTTGAAAAAAAAATCATCTAGGTGAAGGAGTAACATAGTTGATTGGGAGGAGATCTAGAGAGCTGACGCTAATATCCTTCTTCAAACATACTTTTATCCTTTTCTGTGAACTTATCTCCAATAATTACCCTTAAAATTCACTGTAGGAAGGGGTAATTCTGTGTTCATGCAGCATATTTGGGGAAAATACTTGGTTCTCTGATTTTAGCCAAAAGATATGTAAGATTCAATTGCAATATCCCAATGCAGTTCAGATTAAAATATTCAATACCACAGCATTGAGAGGACTATGGAATAAGGGTGGATTTGACCTGTCTTTGAGGTAAGAAACAAATGTGAATCTTCTGGCAGAACTAGTGAGAGGATATCAAGCCCACTGAGGTCAGTGGTATTTGTCTGCAGGGAATTACCAAGAGTTCAAACTTTGTTCCTTAGTTTTAGCTGTACCTGGGTTTGGATGGTTTTAATTTTATCTGCTAGTTATTCTAAATTTAAGTTTAACCATGAGCCAAAAGGATTCTAAAACAATGGCTGACACTTCAAATCAACCTTTTTAGTACACTGGAAGCAGCTACCTCCAGAAGACTTGGTGTGATCTAACCTTGCCTCCTCTAAATCTAAAATAAACTTCCTTACTGAAGGATGAAACAGTTCTTGAATGACTGATTTTAAACTTTTTAGTTAATTTTCATCTGGCATGTACTCCTCCCATTTGCTCAAAACCTACACCTATATGACTTTTTTTCCTTTTCAGGGAATAGGTGAGGCAGGACTTTTCTTGGGATGCTCTGTGTTCTTCGCTTTGAGAGATGCAGTAACTAGTGTGAGAAATGAAAGAGGACTGAAGAAGCCCTTTGCACTGAATAGCCCTCTGACTGCTGAACAAATACGGGCAAGCTGCGCTGATGACTTTACTGAGCTGGTAATAGAAGGATGGGGAAGGGTCTATTTAACTGTTGCTGGGTACAAGTGTATACAAGTGCACCCTCATGGTGTGTCTCCAATTGGTCGTGCTTTGTATACAGCTCCTTGTAACTGAAATGCCTGGTATAATTTTTTTCCTGTGAAATTTATAATTTTTACAATTCCCTCTTTCCCTGAAGCCTACTCTTTTCTTCTGTATGTCAAATCCCATAGAGGACTCAATAGCTCATCTTATTGATATGCAGTGGATCAGCCTCCAGGCATCTTCAGTCTCCTTCCAGGTGCTAGCACTCTGGCACTGTCACCTCATTCTGGTACTCTTTGCTATGCTCGGTACTCTTTGGGATAAAAATAATGAACTCAGAGCTAACAAGAAGATACAGAAGAAGAAAAACGAGGCAACACAGTTCTCATAATACTGGTCCTTTAGGGTTTCTGCAACTGTTCACTGTATTCATGTTCCCACTGCTATTACAATTCTTTTTCTGTGCAGTTTTTTATTTAGTGAGGCGAGGTCCTTGTCAGCATATAAATTCATGCTGTGCCCTGAAACTCTGAGGCTCTGCTACGGAAACTCTTGAGCTCTCAGTCACAGATTAATCCCATGGTATTTCTGTGATTGTGGTGAGGCACCACTGGCCCCTGACTCAGTAGATTTGTGGGCTTACTCTCTTTGCAGGAACTTGCAGGAGATGAGGTCCACCAGTGCAGGGACCTTCTCCATCTCTGTTTAGCCCTGACCTCAGTTATTACTGACCTTCCTTCCAGCCACCCTCCGTAGGTGTCTCCTATATAATACCCTGCTGAGTGACTTCGAAGCACCTGATAAGGGCAGTGTTGGGAGTTTGCCAGTCAAGTAAAGTAACTCTTGTCATTTCTTGCTTGTCTCTTAGATGGCAAACAATGAAGCTGCTTCCTCCGCTCTTCAGGCCGCATCTGTGTGAATGACAGAGACCGGAATGAAAAACTGATTTACTGCTCCAAGACACACTTATCAACACACAGTTACATATGTTTTCTCATTTTCTTATTTTCAGAATAGAATCAGCTACCAAAAATATGCATTTTACATCTTCTATCCTTATCTTCATTCTTTCTCCAGTATATTCATTACAGTATTTCACTTAAATGACTGCATTTAGTTGCTAGAAATACATCTTCTGCATTTGAAGTATATGTATTCAACCAGAAAGGTCTGCTGAACAGTACAGCTCAAACGCTGTAGGAAAGGAAAATTAGAATGAAGTATAAAGGTATGCTAGATAACTTACTGCCACTTATTACACCCAGCAACTTCATATGATAAATGATTTTGTAATGGCTTCAGCTAATTTTCTAATTTAGATCTCAATCTTGCAGTGGAGTGTGAGGGCAGAAGTCTTTGTCAAAGACTCAGAACTTATTGGATTCAGTCCCTTTTTGATCAGAAGTGATGCTCTGACTTGTAGTAAAGCTACTTTAGATTCTTTTGGCACAGACATCTTTGTGTCAAAAAAACACAAGAAACAAGAGTTACAATTCTCTTTTGCTATGCCAGGAAAGTTGACCTACATATATAGACCATGAATTTTATTCTGAAAATTGGCAGAGTCAGTTGTAATTTCCACCAGAAGCTTTCTTTTTCTCATGGGGCAAGCCAAAAGCCTCTGAACTTAATGTAAAAACTGACATGGAGTTCAGTGTGCTTTGAATGGGAGACTGGATGAACCTGTCTCTGGAAAGGATTCTTAACCAGTGCTTAATCCTGTACTCAGAAGTATATTAAGCCATGAAAGTGCAATTAACAGCTTTCTCCCACTCTTGGCCACTCCTGAAATAAAGCAAATAAAAAAAGCCCCATAATGAGATCAAAAGATGTTCTGCAAAGATCAAACATCTAATGCTGCCAGCATACAATGGGATTAGACCACACCCGAGCAGTAGCACCTGGAGAAAACAGGAAAATATAAAGCAACACTATATTAAATGGTAACAAAAATTCTGATGTTAATACATTTGAAGTATGTATATATTTGTAACCTATGGTGAGACCAAGAAATAACTTTCAAGTTATGAAAGCTCCAGTCACAATATTTAGTTTTCAGCATCAGAATCCCCAATACTGAATTAATTGACAACATCAGCCCTTCCTGCTCTTCAAGTGTGAAGACAAGATTTCAGTTCTGAATGTGCAATCACATAAATACACAAATCCCCATGGCATCTGCACTTGAGGCTTTAATCTGGGATGTGTCCTAGCATAGAGAAAACACTTCACTTTTTTAGTGAGTCTACAAAACTTACCTTAAGTAGCACCAGAAAAATTGCAACACGTTCTTTAATAATAAAGCAGAAGCGGGAAAATCAGTAGTTTAAATGTTCACTGTGTGGCTTCAGTGAACCTCTCCATCAGTTATTCCTTGCTAAGCATTGGGATTGCTCTTCCACTTACAGGTTACATTGCTCCAGCACTATGACAACTGCCATTCCTACTGGAAGTAAATGGCTTTAATCTGTTTGACATGTCAACCTGCAGGCTCTTATTATTGCACTGCCTCTCAGTTTTCCACAATTTTCTCTTCTTGCCCTCTGTCCCTTTTACAAGTTGATACTGTATCTGTGACAGAAATCAGGTCAGTAGCTTAAAACAGCTTTTTGCATTGGCTGTTAAGATATGAAATCTTTATTGCTTCAGTTTGTCTCTCTGTAACCACTATGAGTAGGTGAAATGCAGCTGCTTAAACATAGCTGTCCAGACCATCTTAGATATCATAAGACAGCAGAGGCATAGGAGAGTACAGGACTGGAAGATATGATAGAGCAACTGGAGGTCAAGCAGGTAATAGCAAATCATCTGAAGTGGCACTGAAAGTGTGATTTAGGCAGCTGAAGCCTTATCGGTTTTTACTTATTTTTCTTCACTTTCTTTGTATTACTTTGGCTTTTATTTATTGTTAAAAGGTCAATAAATCAAATTAAATGTGAATGCTGCTGCCACAATTTGTTTTTCTGATTTGGAACAGCTTCTTAGTTTCACTGCATGGGTTTGTCAATGACAACTCACAACCCCACATATCTATAACAGCCAAAAAATACGTGTAAATTCTGGGATATGCTGAAGCAGGGAGCCTATAGGTCTACTGAAATGGGGGGAAGCTACATTTTCTGTTGTTATCCTATGTACCTATGCACCAGCACAGGTGCTAGTTAGTTACAGACAAGTCAAATCTTCCAAAATCATTGCCTGATCCTCACAGGCAATGCCATCTCCCCACCTGCAGTGCTGAGGTGTTTGCACTCTGAGGACTCATCGTGTTCTAGACCCGCACTTTGTTGTCTGCAGTGCAAATCTTGTCTGCTTGTCCGTATTTCTCAGTCATTACTGACAAAGATTCCTCCCTGCCTCTTTACAAGTGGCACTGTTGTCTAGTTGTCTCAGTAAATTCTATACATGTAGCAAATATGAGTTGTTGTTTATTTTGGGTCCAAACGTATTAAGCTGTTTGCTGGCTTTTAGGTGTTTGAAAAACTGCATGGAAGCAAGAAATATCAGCAATTAACCATCCTGGCAGATGATAGTATAGCTACCATGGGACATTATGAAAGGAATTTTCTTGGACTACACAGGGAGATAAACAAGCAGAAATGTTGGGGCTCCAAAGGAACTGACATAGTGGATGGGTACACATTAATGTGCACTGTAACTGCACAGTTACACCCAAACTGGAGATGGTTGAGAAGAACTCTTTCTACTAATTTTCTTCATAAGAGAAGTGTTTCTTACAATTATTCACCCTCAGCAGTCCCATTCTGTGTGGTGTAAGCTTAAACACCTAATATAAATACTAGGTTCTGGTTTGGAGGGCTAGTGGTCTCTAAATAGGTATTGTTCTGCCAAAATCAGGTATTTGGTCTGGTTCCTTCTGTTCTCAGGCCTTTGAATTGCATTGTCATACCTACAACACGTGGAATCTACACTGATGCTGCAGTTGGCAGGATGCATTAGGGCTTTTGCCTACAGAGACCTGGTGACTGGCATGGCTTCAGTGCTTGTGTTGTTGCAGCTCTCAGGCATAAATTAGGGGCTAAACCACAAAAGCAGCAGCATATCTCTGCTGAGAATAATTTTTTTGCCTTCTGATGGGGAGTGTTAGAAGATCGGGGACTGACTACTTTGTCCTGTAAGCCTACACTGACTCTAAGTGAAATGCAGACACCTTAGCTGGAAAATGTGAAAATGGTAAATGAAGCAGAAGACATGTACATACATAAATGGAGACTTTTTAAAAACATATACATAATTCCCCTTTAAAAAGAAAAAGAAGACCAACTGTAATAAGGCATTTTAAGATTAATGACCTTGTTTCCTGGACAGGCATACAGAGAAATGAATCTAGAACTCCAAATCAGTATTTGGGATTTCTCTCTTTAAGGACATGGCACGTCTTGAGTATGGTCATCTTATAATAGTACCCCCAGCAGTAAGGACATAGAGCTGGCATGGCATAGAGATAGCCAGAAGGAAATTTTAAATGTGTGTAGAGTAGTAATGTTGATTTTGTTAAAACTTGGTCGCTCTGAAGACAGAAAATCATAGATAGTTCAGGTCAAGGTAAATGAGAACCACGGCTCCACAGCTTTGCATTTGACACCCCACAGAAATGGATAATGTTGCTTGTCCTTGGTTCTTGCATCAGGTATGCCTATGTATTCTAAATTCACTGCATAATATAAAATAAATAGGCCTGGCAGCTGTAGCTCAAGCCAAAAGTACCCCCTCACAGTTGTCTCTTAGGTTACAGGGTTAGAATTAGAGGGGCTCAGATTCTTCCCAGCTTATTTCAAGTCACCAGGGAAGAGTTGGGTTAGGGAGTAGGAGGTGGTGCGTTGGCATCTGACCACGCTTTAATTGCTGAGAAACAATATACATTGCACTGGCTCCTCCCCACCTGCTTATTTGCAGACTGAGCATCAAATTAAACTCTGCAGGAAAAAGCAAACTCAGTCGACCTTTAGGACCATACAGCATTTCATTAATTTCTCTTGATGTGTAAAGCTTTATTTTTCAGACTTTGATGCAACAGCATGGCTTGCCCTCAACAATCAGATGAGCTTGTCTTTTTTGTGAATGGCAGGAAGGTAAGTTTTTAAATGCTTTTTCTTTTTTGAACAGCATGGCTTTAATATTTTCTATTCACATTTGGAAACTGTTATTCTGGAGCAACAGTTTATTCATGGATAATCATCTCTTGTCTTTGATTTTCCTGCTTTATCCCATGGTTTTTACAGAATGTGAGTGACTTTGTATCACCTCTCATAATGCAGATTTTTAGAATTAAAAATAGTTATCTGTTTACTAAAATCTTTTATTAATATACTCCTAAAGTTGATGTAGTTGAAGTGCCTCTCTAGTAAAAGAATATGCAGATTACTAATATAGTTTCAGTAATTCACTAAAAGAAAAGAGTAGCTAGTTTTTTTCTGTTCTTGGTGCCAAACACTCACATTTCATTTTCTAAAACATTTTGTCACATTTTCTTACTTAGCAGGTCAAGTGAATGAGAAGTTCTATTAGCAAAAATGTCACCCAAAATATAATATAAAGTAAAAGGAAGGAAATTTATTTATTTGTTAAAAAAACCAAACCAGCTAACCAACCTTGCTTTTCTAGAGATATTTTTCCGTTATTTGGTCAACACTTTTATACTCTAGAGAGACGGTAATGGCTTTAGTTTGACCAGGTGAATTAAGGAAAATAGTTCAACTTCCTTCTGTCTGTTATGTTTTATCTGTCATTACATGCCAACTGTGCTTAAAGGCATACTCTGAAACCTTATTTCACTCTGCATTTCTGTATAAATTCCTGAACTAGTCTATGTTGTCCTATACATGGTAAATTGGAGCATGCTCCTGATATAGCAGAATTGTTGAGAGAAACCTGAGGTTCAGTCTCTGGTCATTCTGCAGCATTGGGTCCTAACGTTTTTTTTCAAAGTTGTTTGTGTTTTCTTGTGTCCAACAATTTCAAGCACACTGATGGTACAACAATATTCTCGAGACAAGGCTAAAGCAAGGCCTGCATAAGCCCACTCGTACACATTAAACTTCATTAGAATGAAAATATACTTAGATATGTATCCCTCTTGCTCTTCTTACACTAAGATTTTCCTCTGCTGTTATGCTAATGGGTCTCTGCAAATGAAGGGGTAAATATCAACTTCAAGGAGGTAAAATTATGTAGAATTTTCACATGCACAAGTTCATAGCTTTAAAATGAAGGGATTCTGATTCATGCTGTTAGGAATCAACAAAGGATCTAGGCCAAAGACACTTTTCCTTCTAGTCTTGTCTCTCCAAGTGCTTACTTAACCTCTCTTCCCTTTCAGTTCTCTGAGCAAGCAATTATTTCACATATTTGACCAACATTGCCTGACCCATTCATGTATTCTTCTGCAGATTATGATCAAGTGACAGCATCCTGTTGCTAAACAAATGCTCCACACTAATCCGCAATCACTGCATTTAAACACCATAATTAATCCTTGTGAGATGATTATATTAGATTCCTCTCTAACCTATAATCTCTTTTTTTTTTTTTTATTTCATAACATAGGTAATAGAGAGGCAGGCAGATCCCGAAGAATTGCTGCTGTATTATCTAAGAAAGAAGCATATCCTTTTTTTGAACTTTGCCTTTGAGTTCTATAAGTCTGTAAATTAATGCAACTGGGGATTAAGATTGTTTCACTTTTCTTTGGGAACCAGTGTAAACAGAATAAGTAGAAATAGCAAAATATGCCTTGCATTTGTTCTTAGCAGAGCAATCCAATGCTGCATGTGTGTTAGTTATACGGGTATAACATTGGAAATTTTGAACTACTTCTGCAGTAAATAATTTATTTAGGTCCCAGTCCTTCAGAGAGTTTTATATAGGCTTATTTTATTATCTTATTACTTTTGTTTTGTTATTTGAGGCTCTTCAGGTTGCTAACTGCTGTCAGGGCTCTGTTGACTTCAGTGGCAGTTGTCCCAGCTAAGAAGCTGCCATGCAGCTTCTAAAGTTAAGCAAGGGAAGGGAAATGATGAAAGAAAGTGGTGGATTCCACTGGACTGCAGGGCACTGCAGAAGGAAATTGTGGTTTGAGTGTGGAGCCTTTGTGCTGAGGCACATAATGGAGGGAGTCCTTCCATACAGGGTTTAGGTGTGTGCACTTGGGTATTGTGCTCCATTAAAATCACTGTTTTCCTAGGATGTTCTGGAAGCAGCACTGGAAACATACTGAGATCTGTTGATACTGTTTTGCAAACACAAGATACAGATAATTATGTGCAATGATTAGGAAAGTACTGCGAGTAAGGCTAATAAGACCTATTGCTGTATTTGCTCAACCCATCCCTTTTACAGGGGAGCACCCTCCAGTTCTGCACATGCAGATAAAACAAGGGAGACTCAGAAGAACATAAAGAAAAAATATCTTTTGAATATGGTAATTTCTTTTCTTTAACGTTCTCCTTTGCAGTCCGTCTTTCAGGTACAAAATATGGCTGTGGGGTAGGAGGCTGTGGTGCCTGCACTGTGATGATATCCACATATGATCCTGTTGCCAAGCTGATACAGTATCCTGGTGCTGATATTTGAAAACAGTAATTTAGTGTTTTGGGAAAACTGACATTCACTGGGAAATTACAGAGTTGAACTCATTATCACACAGTAACAGAGATTTAGATCCTCTCCAATACTTTAAAAAAACCCAAAACAAAACAAAACAAAAACTCAACACTAAACCCCCCAGCTTTCTGGGAAAATGATGTTTTAGATTGAGTTCTTTATGATTTGAGATTTCAACAGCCCTTTTGTCATCTGCCTCTCCTAAGTCCTTTATGCTTATTTGAGGATATGCCACTTTTAATAAATTCTCACTACGTGTTTCACACAATCACTGATGAAATCTCCAAGGACTTTCGCCATAGACTTATTACATTGTGGTTGTACAGTTTCTCCCACGGCAGAGTTAGTAGTTCTGCGTTGTCTCTCCCTGGGTCTTGAAACTTTGTTCTGTTAGAAGTGCTGTGCCTGACTTCCATCACAGCTGGCCCTAGACTTTGGGTTTTAACAAAATATGTAGGGTTTTTTTTTCTTTTAATTAACATTGCACTTCTTTAATTACAAGAGCCTGTTATTTAATGCCTAAGTCCCAGCTCTAGGGGGATGCATACTGTCATGATCCAAGTGCAGGATTTTTTATGCTTGCATATCCTTCTCCCCATGTCTTTCTAACATCAGAAGTCAAAGCATTTCTAGATTAGCTGGAGTGTATATCCTTTGTTTTGTCCCCCACGGACTCATATGACCAAGCTATTTAACACCACAATTCTCCTTCACATATCAAAGTCATCATCCTGCCAACTCCTGCCTTCTCCCATTATGTTCACTGCATGGTGCTGCTGTCATTACTGTGGAAGGGGTTGGAAGCATAAAAACCAGGATTCATCCAATTCAGGTGAGAGTCAGTTGGACTGTGTAAGGCTGCAAGATTATAAGATTGTCCTGTCCTATGTCTGTAACAAAACTGGGATCTGTGAGTCTGTGCAATGCAAAGTCTCTGAAGGGATTCTAGAAACTGAATGGTGTCTGAGCTTTCCAGATGAACAGGTGTTTTGTGGAATTAATACAACAATTGCTGGGTTGTGAATGGCCCTGTATGGACCATGGAAGGAGCTCCTCCTAATGTACTACCATGCAGGGAGCACATCACAATCTCCACAACACAGGACTATCCAAGCATATGCCATGTAGGATGCCAGCTTTCAGAAGGGGATGGGAAGGGACAAAGAGCATCAGCCAGTTTCATTTAGTCACCAGCATGGCCTCCGGCCATCTTACTGAGGACAACAGTCTGTGCATATGTGTAGTATGGGATGAATGATTCCAGATGGCAACCAGACTGACAGGTAATATATTAGGCTTATTTGATCCATGTGCCAGAGATTTCCCTTGGATTAGGTCAGCTCTTTACTTCCTCCACTCTGGCTTGTCCCTGAAAATCACAGTCTGACCGCATAGATTTAAGAATGTTTTCTGAACATTATCTTTTTGTCTCAATATTATTTTCCAAGAGTCATGACTCTGTGACTGGTCTGTGCTGAAGCTCTGGTTGAGGAGATATTCTGCATTCTATCCTTCTTGGTTAGAAACACCTAATGTATGATTGATGTCTAAACGGAAAGTCTCGGGCCTTATTCTATTCTCATAATCAGGATCACGAGGGTCTAAACTGGAGCAAGTATTATCCTTTAACTAGGTGATTGCTCTGAGAATTTGGGGTAGTGAAAATGCTGCTACCGTCCCACAGCTGGTAGATGACATACCTGAAGATGGCTATTCAGAAAGTCAGTGAAGCCACATCCTGGACTGTTGTGCTGTTTTGTTCTAGGAAAGGCTGGCCAAATGCAATGGCTCCCAGTGTGGCTTCTGCACCCCTGGAATGGTGATATCCATGTATGCCTTACTGAGAAACCATGCAGAACCTTCCATGGAGCAGATTATTTCTGCTCTGGATGGTAAGTTACAGGCAGTAAATTGTAAAAAGTATAATAAAAGGATACGTGTTTGATTGCCAAGGTCATAAGTATGATTTAAAGAGCAGTAGATGATGGTAGTAGATGGTGCTCTGATATAGCCATAATGGCTTAAGGACATCTCAAAATCATCAAAAGATGGTTCACAATGACAGCTTCTAAAGGGATACACAGTGGCATTTAGAACTGGATAAATATTTCTGAAAATCCCTGCATTTAGAACAGCCTGTTTTTATAGCCCTCCTGCACCAGCAGCCTCAATATGGTGCAGTAGGAGTACAGTTTTACAAAGAATATGCTGAAAGAGTAGATATAATATACTGAAAGAGTATAGGTATTCACTGAGTAATACAACAAAGTCTTGCTCTTCAAGCAACATTTACTACAATAGGCAAAGCAACTTCAACTCACTTTCAAGTGCCAAGTTTGCTAGCACTCCTATAGCTCCCAAAGTAATTAACCCCTCTCACCAGAAGATTTTGATTTCATGAGGGAAATGTCAGAAATTGCAGTAGAGATTTTATTACTTCTTCTAATTATATATGAAAACCATGATAGTGATGGATGGCAGTAGATTTTGGATTTGATTGTAAAACCCAAACACTGTAGTGGTAGTAGTAATTGTAGAATTTAGTTTTGGATGCTTTTCATAATTTGATTTTTTTACATGCATTCATATAAAGTAATTAATATTATTTTTAGGAATGGCCTTAAAAATAATAAATTTTAATAATATAATCACTATTGGAGTAATATTTCTTATTTTTACATATGTGATTTTGCCCATTTGAGCATAGGGACATAAATTTCAGCATTTTGCATCTGCAGGTTTGATGCCAGACCATTTCCAGTTGTGCTGGTGCTTCCAAACATTGTTCTGGTTTCTTATGATTGATTATCATATGGTTTATTTCAGGTAATTTGTGCCGTTGCACAGGATACAGGCCAATTATAGACAGCTACACATCTTTTGCTAGGGTAGGTCAGAATTTTCAAATATATTTCTTATTTTGGGACAGTTTTTGGTAACTGAAAAGGCTGAACCTCTTTGAATTACCTATCTGGAGTCTTGCATCATATGGAAAATCTTTTTTTGGTTGAGCCTTTGAAAATCTGGCTCTTTTAGTTTGCAAATGTGCCAAGAGCTTACAGCCACCACTGACTTTTGGTTTACATGTACCCTTGCAATGCAGTGGAAAATCCTTCACATCAGTTACAAGGACTTGATCTAAACACCACTGAAGTAATTTTGATTTTTTCCATTTCCTTCATGGATACCTGGGTACCCAAAGGGAACTCACTCCTAGGGTCCTATGGTTTAAGGGGTCTCCTGGAGCAACTTCAAATGGCTGAACAAATCTGATTTGGAACAGGAAGCATCGAAACATTAATTTACAAATAAATCACTAAGCTGCCTCATTGCTTTTATATAATAGAATATGATTTCTTTAGGAGCCAACATGTTGCCAACTCAGAGGAACTGGACAATGTTGCTTTGATCAGGAGGAATATGTCTGTTCATCTTCTACAGGGGGTCAGGTAAGTTACAATAGATTTTTTTTCTTGTTAACTCCTGTTTGCATTGTCAGATTTGAAGGAAGGAGTCATCTTTAACTATGGCAGCAGCTGCTTTTCTAGCTTTGGGCATTTAGACCAGACTGAACTCCAGGCTCTCTGCTCTTGTTGCTGCAGAAAGGCAGCACAAGCATATCTGCATTGTTATTATCTGTGTTATTAGAATCACAGAATTACAGAATATGCTGAGTTGGAAGGGACCCACAAGGATCATCGAGTCCAGTCCTTAGCCCTGCACAGGACCCTCCCCAAGAGTCACACCATGTGCCTGAGAGCACTGTCTAAACGCTCCTTGAACTCTGTCAGGCTTGGTGCTGTGACCACTTCCTGGGGAGCCTGTTCCAGTGCCCAACCACCCTCTGGGTGAAGAATCTTTTTCTAATATCCAACCTAAACCTCCCCTGACACAACTTCAGGCCATTCTCTGGGATCCTGTCACTGGTCACCACAGAGAAATCAGTACCTGCTCCTCCTCTTGCCCTCACGAGGAAGTTGTAACTGCAATGAGGTCTCCCCTCAGTCTCCTCCTCTCCAGGCTGAACAAGCCAAGTGACCTCAGCTGCTCCTCATACACCTTACTTATTTAGTGACATTTTCCAGTGAGAGTGTGGATCTCAATATTAAACATTTATGCCTGCTTTTTTGTGTGTGAAGAAGAAAACTGTTGGTCAGAGACAGTTTTATTAAAAAAGCTGGCCTTGATGTGAAGTTGAACTCCCATAACAGAAGTTTTGCAGCTATCAGCGTGGCTTGTTTCTGTGTGCTTGAGACACCAAATCTGAATTCTTGAAGATGAAACAAAACTATTGCTGTTTAGTGTCAGTGTATTCTTGTAAAGCCTTTCATAAGCATTACTGTGTTGCTAGTGGCTCCAAGATCTTGAGGGAAGTGTCTCATTCTCCTGTGTTGTATTGCAACTGATATATTGGTATTGCTTCAAAATACACATTGTTTTATTCTCACTTTACATATGCACATTGTAAAATCACGAGTCACCTCATTTGTGTTTGTCCTGGCAAAGATTCCAAAATCATTATGTAGAAGGGTACATATGGGAACTCCAGTATACATAAGGAGGATCCTGCTTCAAAAAGGTCCTCCATTCCCTGTGTGCATCTAAGAACTTGTTGTCTTCTTTTCATCCACCTGTAAGAAGAGGCCATAGTGCACTGATCTTGCATCAGAATGAGGATTTTAATTCCTTAGATGAATTTTCTCTGACTGAAAATCTCTAAGAAATCTATAAAGCCAAATGTCTTGGGTGATTGGAAGAAAACTTGTTTTGACAGTGAAAAACTGCAGACCTCCAAGGAATGTGACTGGATGTGTGGATGTTTGTGCACCTGTGTGTTGCCTCTGCCCCTTTAAGAACTGAAAATTGTTGGTGAGCTGCTGCCAAGGTTGTTTGAAGCACAAGTCTAGCAATGGAGTAGTTGCCAGTTACAAAACAGCAATTCCTTTGGATGCCCTCTTATTTGGTTTTCCCTGATTTGCATTCCTCGTAATTGCTTTCATCCAAGGCAAATACCTAGTGCCTAACTATTGTGAGGATCATGGCAGACACAGAATTTTTTTTGCCATTTCATCAATGGTGTCAATCAGTAGACTAAGTCATCCAGAGCCAGATTTTACAGTTACCAAGGCCACAATCTGTTCAGAGGTAATGACTGATTGGGGAAGGAATAAGAGACTTCAGACTAGGATATGTCAATTTTTTTTCCCCCATTCAATGTACTTGAGACTTGTTGATCTCTGGTTTGACAGGATTTTTGATTCCGCAAATAAATCAGTGAGGCAGAAAATACGAACCAGTTCTGCTAGCATAGCGTATTCAGTCTTCTTTTATGTAAGCTTCTGAAAGCTCAGAAGATGGATAGCCTCACCAGAGGCCTCTGCAGAAAAAAGACAGCTGTGAACAAGTAGAAAAAGCTAATTTTTATGGTGCACTGTCAACATTCGGTTCTTGAAGTGGTTATGCAAGGCTGGAGAGGAGCTTTGCATAAGGCTCTCCTAAAGCAGAAAACAATTCTTTCTGATCAGATGGACATTATTTGTTGTCATGTCAAGCTCTGTCAGAAAGCTCCTTAAGAGGCACAGTTATGAACAGAACATAACTATACCATCCAGCCCTGCACTTTCCCACAGTACACATTGCACCCAGTGTGGTGCAATACATTTGCTACGACCGGTTTCAGGAAATACTGCAAGATTTTTCTTGAAGCTTGATGTATTTCAAGCAAAGGCTTGAGAGGGATTGGTTTGATAGTCTGTCTTTTGAGTAGTCTGTGAATAAAGATTAGAAATCAATTCGGGGATCTTGAATTTTTGAATTCAACACAACCTATAAAGTGTCAAAACTCTATCTCACACTAGGAAAGAATCTCATCTGTTGACAAAGACTTGCAACTTAGTCTGAATATGTGCATTCTGATCTCTCTTCCCACCTTCCCCCCCAATTTATTTGCAGATCCCTTCAGGTCTTTGCCATCCAGAACAATTCCTACCCATGGATCCAACACAGGAATTTATATTTCCTCCTGAACTAATGGTAGGCCTTACCGACTTTTGTTATCTTGCAAGCATGACTGAGTTCCTACAGATGTTGAAAACCTTATATTTTTGTGAAACTGAAACATCTATCCTCAGATAAATAGAAAATACTAGTTTTAGTCACAAATAATGAGGCATTCCAATGTGGACAATCCACATGTTGTCATTATTACAAATAGATCATATTTAAAAAGCAAATTGTTTGCCTCTGCAGAACCAACATTTCCCAAAAGAGCTCCTTACTCGTGACCATTATTTTGGACCAGTTGGCTTTTTTGTGGAATATAGTATTTGCTTTGAAAGATCCCAAATGAACTTTCCATCTTTTCTGTTTTGTATTCTCTGTTGGATTCATGTCATTGTTTGCTTCCAGCTGATAAACAGATCCTAGCAACCTGAGACTGGACTTACAGGCAGGTCCACAGGAAAGGCAAATGACTTGAAGAGGAAAGAAGAGGGTTTATTGCAGTAGTTATTGGAAACTCACAGAAGGCCAGATGGAAACTTGAAAAGAGGAGGAGGAGGAAAGTGCCCATAATCTGCAGACAGAGGCAAGAGAAGAGATCTGTGAAAATAGTAAGGCAGGGTTTACCCAAATCAGACTGAGCAGAATCCAAGCAGGCAGCTCCAGGCAGTTTTTTAATCCTCGCTCATGTTTCAGTAGCTTCTTATGAAATTCCTTGTGTGCACTCCTTTTGCAATTCGTGGGCAGTTCTTGCTGATATTACACAACCACCCTAGAGGCACAAAAGTTTATTTGAGTTCTGAAAATGCATGGCACAGTTCTCTGGCTTGTCGCTGTACTACGGAATGCTGTTCACTGCACGGTAGTTGGCTTTGTAAACGTTTGTCATAGAGTCCATCTTTATTGTTTAATGATTACCTCTCAGTGCAGAACATGCTCAGGAAGGCATAAGCTCTTTATGAAACCATGAAGTGGAAAGTAAATTTGCTTTTCTGCTATTGACCTGTCTTGGGGAGACTCATGCTTTAAGAATGCAAGTATTAAGTGAATATTTTGCAAATTTTATACTTGGATTAAAGATCTTGGCTAAAGTGCTGCTGGCTGAAAAAGCTGGTCAGCCAGAAAGGAGGTGCCATCATCTGCTCTACGTGTTCAGACTGAGCTGCCAGGAGGACGGAACTGCTTCTCCAGGCTACACAAGGTGCCCATGCCAGCAGGATTATGATTGCTTCCACAGACACATAGCTCCTGTTTTGTGTTTCAGATATGTCTTTTACCTAGAAGGCCGGTCCATAGCTGGAACTGTTTTCTGGCTAGTCCACTGGTCTGTTTGTTCGCTGCGTTGTCTGCAAAGACAGGTGTTTCAAAGGGATTGCTTTTGCATATTTTGAAATTATGATTCCACATGGCACTTGTCAAATATGAAAAGAACATGTATGATATTCTCAGGGTGAAAAAAAAATTATATAGTTTTGTAAAACAGGAGGTGCTGGAAAAACACTTTAATTTAACAAAAATGTAAATTCTGATCAACCATCCCAAGGAGACAATATCTCTGAAAAGACTAGTCCTTGCAGACAAATGGGAAAGTAGGTATTTTTATTTTTAAAAGCATTTTACCTCTTATAGAAACTAGTCTGGGTCTAGTATGGTAGATACATGACTCTCAGCAAACGGGGATGTAGTGATCCTCCCTGACTAAGAGAATATGTCTTGTATTCTGTCACATATGCAGTGAGATTTTGGCATCCTGATTTCCCACAAAGTCCAGTCACATTGCTTTATTGTTTACATCATATACAATGGGAGTCTTTCAGAATCATCAGAGCAGGAGAAAGAAACATAAGACTAATCTCCTACCATTCATTTAGTGTGTCTCTTACCAAGTCATTTAGTTCATTCTCATCTCAGTTTCTTGAGCAATAATGTAGTTATGATAAAAGCTCAGCACTGTTCAGCACAACAGGAACCTCAGATGAAAAGCCCCATTAGTGTCTCACTGTCTGTTGTAACACAGTGTCCTACTGAGCAATATGGTCATTTGTATTTTTATTGGCATTAGTCAAATTTACCAAGTCTTTGTCATTTCCACCACAGAGAATGGCTCAAGAGCAGCAAAGAACAACTCTGATTTTTCACGGCAAAAGAACAACATGGATTTCTCCCCCTAGCCTGAAGAAACTTCTGAAGCTGAAAGCCAAGTATCCAAAGGCACCTTTGGTTGTGGGGAACACTAGTGTGGGTATGGAAGGACAAAAGATCTTCTGGCACAGGGACTACATTGTGCAGTAGGCACATAATCCTGCATTTTCTCTTCCAGGGATCCTAAATGCATTTTGTCACCACAAGGATTGTGCTTCAATATTTAGGCCAATATAATTTCCCATGACTTTTTCGCAGCAAATCAATAACTAAATTAGGACTTGTACCAGCTGTCATCCGAGTCCAGAATCTGTGCTGCCTAACTTCCCTCAGTAACCTCGGTCTCAGAGACACAATTTGTGTGAATAAGGAAGGACTCGTGCTGATGAGAGGCAAACATTTCACATCCCATTTCACATCAAGCATCACAAAATAAATAATGCCCACAAAAGGGCATGATATCCAGGCATTGGCTAGATTCTGCATATTATGGATGTCAGGCTTTTGTTTTTAGAAATTGTCAGTATACTTTTTTTGAGGGAGTATCCATCAGGACGAATTTGGTAAGAATATTTCCTTCACTGTTGAGACAACGAAGGCCCAGATCTAAAGAGAATCCTTTAGATCTTTTATATATCTGTAAATTGCCTAGTAAAGGGCATGGCATTTGTTTAGTAATATACTCCCATGATGCAGTACTTGGCAAAATGGCAAATCTCTTAAGTTTAAAAACTTCAAGTCCCTTTACATCAAAGGAAAGATCTTTATTGTCATCAGAAAGACATTGCACAAGAAGAGAACAAGGGAAGCAAAAAAATTATGTTGCTCCCATAGAAAGGTGGAGTGAATAGCTAGAAACATGATGAAGCATGTGTGGAATTGTGTATAGCTCTGAGGTGAGAGGTGAAATCTGAGTTTGATATGGGAAAGGACCAGAAACCAGTTCAGAGGAGCAAGGAACAGGAGCCAGAAAAGACAATATTAAACTTTGAACTTCAGATGGGCTTGGTAAAAGCAGTAAAATGTGATACTCAGGATACTGCATAACAAAACCTATAAGATTTTGAAACTACTTAGTTACAGTGGTTTTGAACTTTTCAGTCTCCATGTTCAGGAATATGGTTAATTCTTTAAACACATCTCTAATCATACTATCATACTTTGCCTTTCAGGACTCAAAAGAAATCACAGTGGTGCCTATCATCCAATCATTCTCCATCCTGTTAGGATTTCAGAAATGCATGTTGTGAGTAGCACAAGCGATGGTAAGTTTCCAAGTTCTCTCTACTGTGTTACAAACAGTGGCAACTAAATTAACTTGGGTCTTGCACCTGAAGCAGCAAGAACCATCAACTCTCATTGCTGTGGAGTTTTCTTTGGAGTTTTTTGTCTCATTTCACTGAGCCTTTTGAACCAATATGTCAGCTCACCTATGGTCTTGAGATGATGGATTGATTGTGACAGATAATGTATTAAACTGTCTGTGAATATATATTTGTTCAAATCTCAAATTTCTGCAGACAGCAAGCATAGGGGAAGGCCCTAAGTCAGCCTTATTTTTGTTTTCAACTAGTTGTGAGCCTTTCTATCACAACCATATATCTAACAAAGTCCACAGATTAGGCCAGGGCTTGATTTTCAACACAAAATATTCAAACATAAATTTCCAATCTGAAATACTATAAGATTTTCTTTGGAGTGGCTGGGCTACTTCAGTGTTCACTGAAGTCCATGGTGGTGGCTTCTCTGATACTACTGGGAGTGTAGTAGAGTGTTTGCAGCTCAGTCATGGAAGACTCCAACAATTTGGTGATCCTTCCTCATGGATCAACTGTTATTCGTGTCTTTGGGGATACACAGCACAAAAAAGGGATGTGCACTACTGTGTGCAAATATTCAATGTATATTTTTCAGGTATGTATTTATACTGGGAACTACTGCTGAATAAGCAAGTAGTACTTGCATTTCTTATTGCATGTAATATAAAATCCATCTTCCTATCATTTCTCTTTGTCATCCTGCTGATAAGAGCTGCGTACAGAAGCAATTCTTTAGAGGCCATATCAGCTATATATTACATTTATTCTGTGGCACGACGATTTCACTGTTTAAACTCATTTGATTTCAGGGCTAGTAATAGGAGCTGCCTGCTGCTTGGCCCGGCTCAGAGACATCCTAATGAAGGCAGTCACAGAACTTCCAGCAGAGAAAACAAAAACATACCAAGCTCTCTTGCAGCACCTGAGAACTCTAGCTGGAGAACAGATCAGGAGCATGGCGGTATGTATTCAGCAGTGACAGTAAATAAGACATCACTACAGACATATCTGTGTGAATGTCAGTTATGAGGCTGGGACCATGCTTTATAAGGCTAAAACATTACTACTATCACAAATGTTGTGTGAAATAACTGGGAGTCCTAGGCTAGTTAGCAGGGGCAAATACCCAGAGAACTATAACCAGAGAAACTCTGCTATTCCTGCTCAATGGATGAGCAGAGAACTGGAGGAGACTGGGAAAAGAAGAAAAGGGACATTCTCTGGTAAGGTGCTGTACAGTGCAGCCAATCATGCTTTAACTTGACTGTCAACACATAGCTGTTTACCCATCATGTATTAGGCATCTCTGATCTTGTCCCTAATTCTCCTTTAAAATCCTCTTACTGCAATACCCTGTATTTCTTCCTTTAAGGAAGAAAATTCAAGGGAGTGGCCATGCCTTTGGGCAGCAAAAAAGTAAACCTGGTCTCTGTCAACAGAGACGATATGAGAAAGGGCTTTTGAAGGGAGCAATAGATTAAATCACATTAAAATATACAAAGGTAGAACTTTGTTTAAAATTGAACGGAACAAATATAAGTTCTTCTATCAGGTCTATTAATGGAATAAAATGGGGTTATGATACAGATCCCTTTTACATGTAGGAAGGGCAAGCCTAAAAATAACCTCATTGTTTGTTAAAGTCTTTAGGAGGACACATTGTAAGCAGAGGATCATCCTGGGACTTGAATCCAATCTTATCAGTTGGCAAATCTGTCCTCAACTTGGCATCAGAAGGTAAGCTTTGAGCCCCCTGCCAAATTTGTTGGATGGGCAGAACACTGCAACAGAGAATATGTCTACAGGTAACAGTTTTCAAGTTAAATACTACTGTGCATCTCCTGAATGAATTAGAATGGTATTTTCAGGAGAATGGAGAACATTATCCTGGCATTTGCTTGTCATTATAACTTGCAAAAAGTATCTGGCAGTAGAAAACACTGTGTTCCTGTTTCACAAGACAGAAGGAAACAGCATCTAGCCATCTCATGAACGTGAGGTCAGCACACCTGACGGGTAGAAAGGCCTCCTTTATACATTGCCTTTGGTTATATTGCTGCATTTATCAGACAGTTTAGCTCTGTCTTGTAACTCCAACACTGTTTGCTTTTATTGCTTATGCCTGTTTCATTTTAAGAAAAACTTTGGTTCATTCGCTAGGGCCTAGAAATTTCTCCTGAGGTCACTGGTACTTTTGTGGATATGTATGTGTGTGTATACATGTACACTGTGTTTAAATTGCTACCAGTAATCAAGCTAAAGCTTTGGAAAATCTTGGCAACATTTCTACTGTCTTTGAAGTACAGATGTACAGGGCTGATTCCCCGTATCATTGCAGTGCTTGAATAGTTTCTTGAAAGTTACTGTGATTTAATGGTCTAAAAAGCTTTTGAGTAGAAACAGAACAGCTATATTTAAACCTAAATAACTGCTTTTCTGAATATTATTAGCATTTGAAAGACATGTATTTTCCAGAAAGTATAAAATACTCAGTATTTCATGTGTGATGGAGAACTATAGCATTCATATAGGGAAATATATTGCACCTAATACATAACTTAGATAAGCCTTTCACTCAAAGGCTAGATCCTGAATGGTGCAGACTGTTCTAAGGCCATATTGGCCTTAATATATTCTTTTGCGCAGATTCAACAAATTTGAATCTGCAATGCAGTAACGTTTCCTTCTTGCTTCACATTCAGTAACAAACTAGTTTTCTCCAACAGATGGTAAAAGACAGATTCTTTTAAATGATCGTTTCCTTGCTGGCTGTGAGCATGCAGACATAAATGCCAAGGAGGTCATTGTTTCTGTTCTCATTCCATACTCTATGAAGGTAAGACCCCAATATTTCAAAAGTTTCATTCAGGTTTCAGGGTAGTTATTAGCATTATATCCACTATTCCCAGTAGGCATTGAAACATGCGAGCTACTACTGCTTTGGAAGTAGCTAAGAAAGTTTTGGGATCCTTCCATCATGTCTCCCACTTCTTCCAGCTGGCCATCATCTTCTGCTTCTTTTGGGTCTCATACTGCTTCTTGCCCAGTCTTAAATGTGTGCTTCTGCCCCTTCCAGACAGAAATTTAGGCCGCCTGGATATTTGCAGGAAAAGTACCATATTGTCACATAACCTTCAGCGATAAAGGTCATTTCTGACCTCTTCTACTAATTAGCGATTTACAATGAATAATCCTGCGTTGTCCGTGCAACTACTCAAAAAATAAGGTCCTGACTACTGTGACCGAAGGTGGTAGCGTGTGGCATTAGGGGTTGGGGGCAGAGGAAATGATGTCCTGGTTACTGTGTTCTTAGATATCCCTCTAGTGGATGTGAGGAAAAGTACTGGGCGGGTAGAGGAAGACCCGACTACAAGCTGGTATGTTGTGATTGAAGTCAGTGAGGGAGTGACCACAGGAGTGTCTGCCAACCTTGACATCACAGGGTCAGTCCCCAGAGTAGCTGCCCACTGCAATGCAACCTATTAAACATATGTGGCTTCATGGTGGATGAGGCTTCTGCCCATGAAAAGTTGGCTGGCCATGGCAGGTTTCCCATGAAAAACAAAAGGATTCCCATGAGCTCAAAGCCTGCAAAAGCATAGTCTGTGTTGGCAGCAGTAACAGTGCTTCTGCTGCCTAGAAACTACAAACCTTAGTAGTGATTTGAGAAACAAACAGCCTGGAAGAGAAAATTAAGGAGAAATGGGTTATTTCATTCCACAAAGTAAAAGAAAAAAGAAATCCCAACCTGCTTTGTCCAATGACAAGTTGTGCCACAAAGCCAAATCTGTCACAAAGAGTATTTCAGAGCCTTTCAGAGAGAGACAGTCACACCTAGGAACAGCAGAGGTGAGGACAACAGAATGAACAAAAGACAATAGCACTGCTGGCAAACTCAGAAGGTTGCAGGAAAATTATCAGCTGTCACATGAATAACATCAGATTAAGAAGTCTCACCATGGGAAATCAACACCACTTTCTGGGGAGGCTGCTCCTGCCACTCGCTTTCATGCTGAATCGCCTTTTTGATTAACTCTGCTAACACAATGAAAAGGTTTTTTGCAAGACTTGTCAACAGAATGTGTAGATGGAAACTTGGCCATCAGTTTTCCCTGTTGTTCCTGTCAGCTGCTGGCTTTGGGGTTTGGGTAGTTTGATATGAACATTGCTTCAGTAAAGCAATGTAAATCCTGTTGAGAGGATTTTCCATCTCTGACAAGACTCGCTGTTCAACATGTAATCCTGAATTTCACATTTGTCATGAGAGTATCACATACTTATAGTGAAGACCTAACCTGCTAACCCCCACTTTAAAAGTTCTGTGGCTGTCTGATTCTGAAGTTTCTTTCTGGGGCCACAGAAAGAGCACTTCATACAGTTTCTTCAACAGACTCATCTATGCCTGATCATGAAAGATAATGCTATTATGTTTTCTTTTAAAATATGTGGCTTTGTTCCCAGAACAAAATATTTCTGACACTAGAAATCCCAGCTGTTTCTAGTGCCTCCTCTGTAAATGCCATTACTATAGCATAAAATGTAAAATCTCTGAGTGTAAAATCTTCACAAAATCAGGGTCCTTAACACGGTGGGACCTCCATGTCTGGGAGAAGAAACCACTAATTTCTAAGCTGGAATTAAACTCAAAGAACATATAGGCCATATATATGAAGTGGCTTATATCAGGACAAGGGTTCTTTTCCAGCACTCTGAAATCATTAAATCACTGATAAAGCCATTAAAATTTTGGTGTGTTTTCTTACATGTAGATAACCTCAAATAATGTCCCCTCTTAGTACAAAAGTCTAGGATTAGCTTAGTACTTCAAGAAAAAAAAAAAGTTTAACTGAAACTTTGGGCAATGGTAACACCTAAAATACAAGAAAAATAGATTTCAGTCATTTCTAACATTGATGGAATTTTTCCTTCCTTTTTTTTCCCTTTAGGATGACTTTATTTCAGCCTTCAGACAGGCTGAAAGACAGAAAAATGCTTTATCCATAGTGAATTCTGGAATGCGAGTGCTCTTCCACCCAGGCACAGACACCATTGCAGATCTGAGTATTTTATTTGGAGGCATTGGCTCAACCACACTCAGTGCAAGAAAGTCCTGTGAGAAGCTTATAGGAAGGTACTGAATATCTTAATGTATTTAACCAAAAGGTAGAAGTCATAGTGTGAACCATGGGGTTTGCTTGATGGCACCAGTGGAGATCCCACCATCAGCCTCTCACACTCTGTATTTGACCTGTCCTCTCTAACAATAGGTTATTTCTTGATATAACTTACGCTGATTCACTTATTACTTCACAAAAACTTCACAATATTTTTAGCCACCTGTTGCTTATAAAGAGATGTGTGTTCACGTTAGTCTGCTTTTTTTACCAGGCAATGGAATGATCAGATGCTGAATGAAGCTTGCAGACTGGTGCTGGAGGAAATTGTTCTCCCTCCATCAGCTTCAGGTGGAAAAGTAGAATATAGAAGAACTCTGCTTGTCAGCTTTCTTTTCAGATTTTACCTGGAAGTGTTACATGGTTTACATCAGATGGTAAGCACTGGACAAGAATTGCATACCCCCATCAGCATATAGGCTGCAGTAAAACTCTGCTTTTTTAAAGATTAAGGGATGTGAGAGGGAAGGGTAAAGGTGCTAGGCTTTACTTCAAAACATGTGAAGGGAAAACTTTTCTTTTAGAAATAAGGGTCTGACAACACTGCTCTGACATCACCTTCTTTTCAGTATCCCTTCAGGTATGCTGAGCTTTCACAGGAGAAGATGAGTGCTTTGGGAATGTTGCAAAGTGATGTTCCTCAGGGTGTCCAGATCTATCAGGTGAGGTGTGTTTGTAGCTAGGACTGCCACAGACCCTCTTTTTTAATGAGTGTTTTGCCCTTCTAACTTTCCATTCTTAACTCTCTACTAATTGTAATGTGAAGCTGCTGAAACGTTTGGCGCTGTGGGAAATCTTTTATATTTTTGTAGATTTCCTGGTCTTTCAGCATACAGATGCACTCCTGGCCTCCAAGGTGTTGTGCAGATCAGACTGTCCTGACACAGCTGAAACAGAGAACACAGCTTTCAGCAATGAAAGAGCTCAGCAGAATTTAGTTAAACTGCCCGGTGGGCCTCAGTACAAATAAATGAAATAACCTACTGCAGCATCTCTGTGAATATTCAAGCCTGAAAGACTTCTTTGCAAAGCTACAGTATAGAAAGGAGAGGTGTTTGGCATATGAAAAAGTTTGTTCAGTAGAAGATCTCAATTTTAAAAATTTTGAATTTCATCAAGATTTCCCCCCTTTTTTTTGTTTTGTTGCAAAATTTAAAAACTTTTAAAATCAAACTTTTGCTGCTTCTTATCAGTTTTGCACTGAAAATTTTCAGTATCAGCCAAGAATTTAGTGTTTGTCCTTAAGGAGACTAAGAAGATATATTTTACAGAGGACTCTATACTTGGTAAAAGCCCAACCAAAACATAAATGTTGGAAGATTTTCATGGTCCCAAATAATAGTCTGTTTCAAGTTAATGTGAACTAGCAATTCAATAACAGAGAGCACCGAAGATATATTTTAATTAAGTATGTCTGAAATGCTTTCAATTACAGGCTGTCATTGAAGTAATAGAGGGAATCGATTATGGGAATTTAAATAACAAAAAAAATGAATTAAACCATTTTTAGTCTAGTTAATACTATCCAGAATATTAATTTACCTGCCTCTTTAGGAAGATGGACAAGAAGGAATTACAATGATTCCTGAATATAGTCCTGATTTAAGATATGTTTTCTCTGAAGGAAACATTATGAAATATGATTGTTTGAAGCAGTGGTGATGGTGAAGTGTGTAAGAGTGTGGCTTGCACAAGGTACTACCAGAAGCAGCATGAACCCAGCAGACAGGCCAACTATAAGATCCAGATCACTTTAGCTCTCCTTTATCTGCTATGGTTCCACTGTGTGAACTAGGCATTTTGTCCCTTTTATCTATCTTTTTCTTAATTTTTTCTACCTCTGTTTATTTAGTGCAATCTTTCCACAGAAGAGACTGCCATGTACTAGAGACATGAATGGTATCTAATACAGTATATTTCTCAGACATCTGCCAGGGCCACCTTGGTGCCAAGATAGCATGATCTAAAAATTTAATTACTCCTTTATAATGCATGCATCCCACAAGTATCATCATAAAATCTAGATAGTTCCACATAGTTTTTTTGATCACAAAATATCCTCAATAAATGTTTTTGAGTAAAGGCTCCTATAATTACTGGTCTGTCTTGAGGATAACATGTGTTGCAGGATGTTGACCCAGGACAGTCTCCACAAGATCCCGTGGGTCGTCCCATCAGGCACCAGTCTGGAATTAAGCACACCACTGGTGAGGCAGTTTTCATCGATGACATTCGCCCCGTGGATGGAGAACTCTCACTGGCTGTGGTCACCAGTGTTAAAGCCCATGCAAAGATCATGTAAGTAAGAAAAAACTACAAGCACATAAGTATGTTAACAAGTATTTTCTATTTTTATTATCTGATTTGGCCATATTATGAGGTACGTATTACAAATGAGGTAAGAATTTCTTTGCTGTGTGCTTTAAAAAGTGTCAGATATGGAAAGAAGAGTCCACATTAATGCATTCACCCATTGCAGTACAAAAAATGTGTAAAAAATATATTCTTATATTTTGTAAGTACTGGAACTAGCACTGAAAGAGCTGTTCTATGCCATGCACACACAGATGCTCATGCCTTTCATTTATTTTTTTTCTCAATATGCTGATCAACACATTCGCCTTCTCTATGTAGGGATTTGTCATGAGAATACTAAGTGGATTATCTTTCTGACCCAAACTTCACGGCATTACTTGTACTAGAGTTATTTGTACCACATGCTGTACTCATTTATGTGCATGTTCTTCTTTCCAGATCAATTGATGCATCAGAAGCCCTTCAGGTGCCAGGAGTGGTTGATGTAGTGACAGCAAGAGATGTTCCAGGGAAAAATGGCAGAGATGAGCAAGCATATGCAGAAGATAAGGTATTTCTTGCTTCTGGAGGAGTCTCTGAACCTTTTGGTACAGTTATTTATAAAATAGGAAAGTGAGTTTGCAAGTATCATCTTATTGCAATGAAATGAAAGTAAGTGCAAAATCAATTAATGCACAACCAGGCAAACTGGGCTGAGCAGATTTACCATTCCCCAGTAAGAGAGAAAGGAAAAACTCCCTTAAATAACTTAGAGTTTAAGTGAATAAGCCATGATTCCTAAAAGGCTGATAAATGAGTGATTGTCCTGGATTCTGAGAAAGTATGAAACAGCCATGATACCTGAAGTTTTAAAAGATGAGACAAATAAAATGAGAATTGCCTAGTTGGAACCAATATAAAATTAATTGCTAGATTATACACTAGAATATGGCAATGGGAGACAGCACTTTTCTTTTTGACAAATATCAACAGAGCTAAGAAATTTATAGGATCCATGCAGCCAGCATGACTGTACAGAATGTCCCAGGCCTCAGGCTGTGTCCATCACAAGTGATGCTGTTCCATGGTATTTGCAATAGGGCAAGAATAATTCCTAATGTGTTGCTCTTACCTCCCTATTCTTGTTTCTCTGAGTTTCCTTCATTTCTGCATACAGACAAGGAAAGCAGTCTGTGCAGATGGGATTTTACTTGGCCCAGTATCTGGCCACCTCAGGATCAACACAGGGGGAATGTTCATAACTACTGATGTCAGCAGCATTTCTAATGCCAGAAATGTTGCAGCAAATGAAAGATTCTAATAGGCTTCTCATCTAATGAAGATAAGTCTGCACTGGGATAGTATTCTTAGAGAAACAGAATATAAAAGTGGCATTTGACCAGAATCTATTTCCTCAAAACACTTTCTGTTCACAAACTTAACCACTACTATGTTTTTTCCTTGGGTAATACATTGGTGTGTTGCAGGTGATTTGTGTTGGTCAGATAATCTGTGCTGTGGTTGCAGAGTCACTGACTCAGGCAAAGTGTGGGGCTGGAAAGGTGAAGATAGTCTACAAAGATCTGGACCCAATTCTGACTATTGAGGTAAAATCTGTCTCCTCTTCCTTGTCTGACAGAGCTCTCTGTCACCTCACTCACTATTTTTGCCTTGTGCAGAGCTCTGCCAGGCGTTGGCTTTTTCTTTTTTTGATATGAGATACGACTTTATTGCTCCTGAATATGAAGTGTAAAAAGTTTATAAATGGCCTCCAAAATTTTGGTTCTAGAAACACATAAAATCTTACTAGGTACATATTCATCCAGTATATTGGAGATTGGTCTTTGTAGATCTAGGTAGAAATTACTAAAGAATATTCAGAGAATTCTAAGTAAGCAATTCCCAGAAGTAGTACATCAGTATAAAACTAAATTTGAGAACTTATGGTTGCAGAAATGCTGGTATCACACATCCTACATCCATGTTCTGAAAATTTTCAAGCCCAGCAGGTTTTCAGTAGCAAACAATCTGATTCTGAAATATTTTCAGCAGTTCTGAATGTCATTAACAGACATTTAATCTTTCTAATTTGGGGGAAGAAGAGAATTACATGAACTATGAAAAAAAAAAAAGAAAAATCCTCTCTAATAGCGGAAAAACTATCCTGCTCATTCTAATACTTAGCTATAACCATGTGTCCATCTGAAAAAGGATCATATGGATGATAAAAATCATCTGACTTTCTGACTTACAGTTAACATGTTTGTTTTATTTTTTGCTGCAGGATGCAATAAAACATAATTCATATATTACTGAAGAAAGGAAAATAGAAAAAGGAGATATTGTGAAAGGATTCAAGTCTGCTGATGAAATAATCGAAGGTAGTTAAAACATTAAGTGCATCAGGCAAGGTAGGAGAGTAAGGCTAGTTCAGAATCTATTTCCAGCTGGTGGATGAATTTAAATTTCTCATCTCTTCTCTAAAAACCTTGCTCTTGTTGTTTTTTTCCCCCTCACTGGGAATGGAGCTGAAATGTGTCATGTTTTAAATAAAGCTTAGCTAGCACCTGCTAGCTCATGTTGACTAAACTCTACCATTTCCTTGTCTCACTAAAATAAAGTGCCCTAGGACAAACATTACAGTTAAATAAGGCTTTGTTTATGGATGTTAGCTAACTTACCTTATCCCATTTTAAGCTGACTGCTTGATTTAGAACTAATCCCAGAAACAAGGGAATCAGAGTAAATTGGTCTGGAATACCACTCCCACAGTCACCAAATTCACTGTCTTCAAATCATGAACACAATCCAGTGGTTCCAGAGCATACTCTGTTCATAAGTATCAGACCTATGTTTAAGAAGTATCAATGAAGAATATTTCACAAGCTCTGGAGTTTAAGAGTCCCTATAATTACAAGGCTTTTTTTCCCAATACTTAATCTAAACGTCCTTTCCCACAAACTTTAAACGTTCTCCCTCTTAAACAGAAGTCTTTCATCTTTGATCCATAAATCATGTCTGCTAACCTTTATCATTGCCACTGCTCACTTCTCCATCATCTCTAATTTTACTACATCCAATTTCACTATGGTAATATTTCAGATTAGGTTTCACCAATGCCAAGTGGAGTCTCTCAGAAATTCTATGTAACATTAGTATCACAGAGCCAGATTAGGTTGTTGTAGTGGTATCAGTTGTGGATATACAGCCAAGCTGTGCTCCTCTGTAACCCCTGCTTGGATCTGGTTCAGTAGCGCTATCTAAAGTACTGGCACTTGCCCATTCTGAACTTCATGCCGTTGACTTTAGGCTCTTCCTCCAATGTAGAACAATCACTTTGAAATACAAACCTGTCCTTTAAAGGCCTTGCAACCCTTTCTAGTTTGATATTACTTATAGGTTAATCATTAATTGTTAAAGCAACCATGAGGTAACATTAGACTCAGAAAAGACTCTTCTATGATTCTACATGCATGAGCTTTGCAGACTGACAGCCAGTCATGTAAATGACTTTTCTGAGTTCAGTTTTCAACCAGTGGTATCCCTGATTTAATGTGGATTGTTCTTCTCAATTTGCTTATGAGTAATCAGTGTAAAAAGACAATAAAATTAAGGTGTATTATACTAAGATATCCTTCTCTGAACACTGGCTTGGCCAGTTTTAACACTTCCCCTAAATCTGTGTTTCTAACACCTGAATGCAGCTCTGAAATTTATTAGTGAGCACCTTATATATGCTTAGACAACTTGCGTCCTGCTGACATGCTTTTCTGATTGTTCTCTCATGAGATATATTATCAGACCTACCTTCAGCTGTTATCATTCCCTAAATTTCTGCAACCAAGTTTTTCTCTTCACTGAATACTAAGTACACATGAATTACAACCTGCTTGATCACAGAAGGGAACATAGCAGACGATTAGCTCCTTTTCCTTTTTCCAACCTCAATTCTATCTGTACCATGAACTGATTTATCTAAGTTGTTCTTGGAGATCTCCAAGCATTATGACTCTGCAGTCTCCCAGGTAATTTGTTCCAGTGCTTCACCATTCCTACCATCAAAGCAATTTGTTGTAATTTAAGTACTACTATGCTTCTTGTTCTCTGTACTGTGAGTATGTAGCACAGACTATTCGTTTTTGCAGCCGCCTTCCATTTAAAGGTTCATTCTTTCCTCACCTATTTGGGCTGGGCCCACTCAATTCTTACAGTCTTCTCCATGTAGGTTCATGGCCTGTGATGATCTTTTTTCTGCTTTGCTTTTGACTTTTTCCATGTCATGTCACCCTTTAGTGGATCCAGTTCTGATTCCTACTATTTCTGCATGAACATGTGTTTTAGGAAACGTGTCTCAGGAATAACCGCTAGGGAAATAATGTTACACTCAAGGATGGCATAAAGTTAAGGTTACGCAGAGAATTTGCAGAATTAGCTTCTATGCTGTGCTGACAGATTTCCCTCTCTTTAAAGAAAATGGTACAAAGGTGAAGTGTTGGATAGAAATGGGTAGAAAAAGTGGAAAGAGGATAAAAAAGGAAGAGGAAAGCTATATTTTCCCTCATAGAGTGATTCACATTATAATCCTGTTATAGCAGAAGAGATGTAACTACCTGAAAAAGAAAAAGCATGACATATTGAGTTGATACTGACTGAATAATTTTCTCTTAATAAACAAAAGTCTATAAATAAAAGGTGCAAACCTGAGACACAAAGAAATAAAAAAATAGATAAATCTATTTTTCTTCTGTGGCAAAACTCTTTTTCTCTGCCTTGTATACAGATACATAGTCCAATATAAATTTCCTTGCAGTTCATTTGAAGCTCAGTTTATATTTTCCAATAATTATATATGTAACAGGTGAATTGCACGTGGGAGGACAGGAACATTTTTACATGGAAACAAATAGTGTACTTGTTATTCCAAGAGTGGAGGATAAAGAAATGGATGTGTATGTGTCAACTCAGCACGTAACAGATGTACAGGTAAAACAAAGTATTAATGAGACTTGTTTCTTACCTTCCTAAATAACCTTAAAGCTGAACTACATGACCAGGAGTTGCTTTCAGTCTTCTCTGCTTCTCTTGAAACTCCCTGATGGTGTTCCCAATTCAGATTAATTGATCTGAATCTTTTTATGAAAGTAAGTGGCCTGACTACTAATCATAAAGCTGAATGGAACAGTATTGTGCTATTTGTATTATACAAGGCAGTACAGACACAAATGAGCAGTATTACTATGGGATGAACAAAGGGTATCTTGGATAGATAATATGACTGCAATCATATTGAGAAAAGACTAATTCTGTCTTAGAAGGATTTGGCCAATATGTCTAAAATCAGTGAGAACCAGTACAATCCTGGACAATCACTTTTTTTGCAGCAATGAGTGTCTTCTTCAGAAAGTATATTTCAGACAAGTTGCATCGCTCATATGAGTAGTTACATTGATGATGATGGGCGTCATAATCACATGTAAATAATGATAAATTAATATGGAATCAATAGTGACATATGAATTATGTGAAATTATGTGAAAAAAGTTAACAGGTTCTAGTTGACATCAGAGTTGGATTGTAGGCCTGTAGAAAACAACAGTTAAAAAATTGTAATGTTAATTTCTACATGTTTAGTATTAGCTTTTGCAGTTCATCACTGGCTTTCATTTTTCAAGCTTTCCCTGTCAGGCCTGCAAATTAAATCTCTAGTTACATCTTTTGAAACACTATCAGAGGAGGTATTTTCAAAATGCAATGTCAGGATTTTAGTTACATTTTCTAGTGTGCACTAAACAATCACTCTGTTCCATTTAGCTTGCTATTCTAGTGGATGCTTTATCTCCAGCTGCAGGTGAATGTGCAGTTCTGTATAGGGATTATCATATCTGGCATCAGATAATCAAACTAGTTTTCAGAGTTGTTTTTTGCATTTCTACTGTTCTTTAAAGACTACACTGTACTTTCATTAGCATGTTTATTTGTTTGAATTCTTTTGTTTATCTGTACCTATAGCAACTCTATTTTTCTGCCCAGGAGTCTTAAACCTGATAGCTTTTAATACATGATTAGTCACAGAAAATAGGCATTTTTTAATGTACTTTGGCAGGTAAAATTCTGGATGTTCACTTTTGCAGGAATTAGTGGCTTCAGCTTTAAACCTCCAGTCCAGTAAAGTTATGTGCCATGTGAAACGTGTTGGTGGAGCATTTGGTGGGAAGATAACTAAACCTTCCCTCTTTGCTGTAATTGCAGCCGTGGCAGCCAACAAGTAAGTTGATTTCACTAAATTGAAAGAGTGATTTAACTAAAATAAATTAAAAATGACAAGACTGAATTAAAAAGAAACTTCAGTCCTGAACCCTACTTGGAGGGTTATCCTGATGACATCATATTTTTTATCTCTTTAGCAGTAAATCTTGAAAGTAAAGTAAATCTTTAGCAGCTTGAAAATTCTCTGGGCTTTTGACAATGGTATTCACTTACTATCTGAAAGCTAAAACAAAGGCATGGAGGCAGTTTCCCTCTGGGATTATCTGTACAAATCCCAACCATTTGGGCCTCTGTGAGACATGGTGGTATGAATTTCACTCTAGATATTCAGTGGAAGTGTATTTTACCCTAATACATAGGTATGGTCACATCAGCCCTTTGTGCCACAGCTGTCCTTTGAGTTCCTTGCCTTTCCACGTCCTGTGCATGCTTAATGGAACTTGCATCCCCCTGTTGAGAAGCTGAAGGGAAAACCACAGAAAAGCTCATTTCCTCTACTTTGTTTCTGTTGCCAAAAACAAAACAAAACAAAACAAACAAAAAAAACCCCACAAACAAACAAAAAAAAGCTGAATCAGCCTAAACTCAGGCATAGTATGTTAATAAAAAACTAAAATATTGAATGGACTGATTTATTGCCACTCACCACTAGGAGTCTGGCCATGTACATGTAATGTCATTTGCAATCTGCATCAACAGGCTGTAATAAAAGTGGATTTTTTTAATGTTCATTTTAGGACAGGGCATCCAGTCCGTTTTGTCCTGGAAAGAAATATGGATATGTTAATCACTGGTGGACGGCACCCTTTCTTTGGAAAATATAAAGTGAGTGAAAGAAGATATTTTGCTTAGTTACTGGGTAATAGTTTCTTCTGAGACAAATCAGCATAATATCATTGGCTAACAAGACACAGCAAGAAACCAAACTCCTCCTCTTCTGAAATCCTAATCCAGCACCAACCTTCCCCAGTCCTAAAAGTACCCTGACATATTCCATGAATCAAAAAAACAGCTATCATCCTACTCCTACAGCCCATGCAATATCCAGAAAAAGCAGAACCATCCATCCCCTTTTTTACTCTAGAATACTGCTAACATCAGCCCTACCCCATCCACAGATGACAAATTTGTAAATCAGAATTGAATATGAGCCACTCCTCCAATACAAAGCCAGCCCTGAAAGGTAATGCAAGATTCGACTTGTAGCAAAACTCTTACTTTTGACTTCTAAATCCTTGCATTATATAGGTAAACAATGCCAGCACTGAAATCAGCTTGGCAACTGGTTGTAGCAGAAGCAAAGCCCTTCTCTTTGGTGTTGGTTTATGAATTAAACACACTAAAACCCTCCGGGACTGGGTTTATTGTTCAATATGGTTTGGATAAAGAAGGGCTGAGGAGCTGGCTTTCCTAGGGACTCTTGCATGAGTGGTAAAGTTTGGCTGATGACTATTCCTGGGAGAGACTGCTTATATTTTTAATTTTGCTGAAGATATTGCTCCCAAAGATACTGTTCAATTCTGGTTATGATTAGACTAGGTTTAGAACTGGTTTGGGAGAAGAAAGGAGGAAGGTTTCATTTTTGGTTAAATTTTGTTTTAACCATAAGACAAGGATTGTGACTGACAGATGTCAATAGCATATGTATTTCATATTCTTCTGGGTACCCATTACCTGATTATCATTTTAAATCTGGGATAAAATATGTTGCTGGGGCAGAACTTTTCAATAAGCCTCCATAGATGGATGATTCATATTCTGTTTTGATGTAGTTACAACTTTCCTTTTTTCTCCTAAAATTTGGATAACAGCTACAATTTTGAAGGAGAAGGAATGTTGTTCTTGATCTTTCAAATCCTAAATCTGACCCCAACCCTAACCTTTCCTTTAATTAAATACAATAACAGAAAAACCTGTATTAATTGCTTAACTACATTAAGGAAAAAACACTCTCCCCATCAGTCCCATGTCTTATCTTGTCTGTGCAGCTGTGCAGGATTTAGCCAGAAATAATGTTCATTATCTATAGTTTTCTTATCCTTAATTGTGGTAGAGCTGCATCAGTTTATATAACTTAACAAGTTGGTCTCCACTTACTTTGCAGTTTTCTGTGATTGTACCCCTTTAAATATTGTTATATAATGCATTAAAATATAAAACCATGTATTACCTTTAAAAAAAGAGTTGAAGAGGAAGGAACCAGAACCAGAATCAAATCAAATTTAGTGGATATTTCTGAACGTGTAATCTGCAAAATATATGCATCACTGGTTCATATTGCTATATTGCCTAGATGGTGAAAACATTATTACAAAATAAATACTTCAGAAAGTAGAATTAGTATAATCAAAGTGAATATTTTCTTTAATGTTCTTGTCATCCTCTTTCTGGTCTCTGTTCTTACTCGACATAGCAGTGTTTTTCAGATTCTGTTTTTCAGATTCTGTGTGGGTATAGTCCATGCCTATGTGGGAGAACAGCTTTGTGGGCAGCTGAGGTACTCTGATGATTTGTGGGGTTTGCATGTATTTTGCTCTTTGGTTTGTGTATTCAGATCCAAAACAATACCATCCTATAGACAGAAATCTATGCAGGTAATTTTTCCAATTCAGTGGAAACAGTCCCATTGTGTTCTGTAGTGTGAACCTCAGGTGTGATATTTCTTAATTGGTTAGCTTATTTATAAAGGGATGTTTGAAATACATGAAAGAAAAGACCACTAATGCATCAGTTTCTATATTACAGGTTGGATTCATGAATGATGGTAGAATAACAGCTGCAGATTTTCAGTGCTATATAAATGGTGGCTGTACAAAAGATGAATCTGAGTTGGTAAGTCCTTCTTCACTGATACCAATTACACTGACTGAACTGGTCACAAAACGAAAATAACAGTCCTTTGTCACAGTTTATTTCTCCTAAGAATATTCCTGTTCTTGTTAAGTAAAACTCTCATCTACCTAAAGTAAAAATGCATCTGTGGCCCAGATGTCAATAACAGAGCATCTTTAAGGAGGTACGATATTTCCTGTCAGGTCATTCTGGACATAGAAAATTCAGAATGAAAAGTTCTGTGAAGACAAAGAGACACTAAGTTTTATTAGCTAGCCTACTATCATAAACTCATTCCTTCACTTCCTCAAAACTGGAGGTCTGATTTTTCCCTTAGTAACGCTTCTTTATGCTCTTGAAATTCCTATGAGTTAAATGCAGTTTCTCTGATTTAGACATGGTTTCTTTACTTCCGTTGGTGTAAAAACCAGCAGAACAACAAGCCTGTTGAGTAAAGTTAAAACAATTACATCTTATTGGTCTCTTGAGTGTCTTTCACAAGTTTCACTGTCTTTATAAAGGAAATGGAACCATTTGAATAACTGTCACCTCTTATTTCAGGTGATTGAGTACATTGTGTTGAAAGCAGACAATGCATACAATATCCCCAACCTCCGAGTCAGGGGACATGCCTGCAAGACTCACTTGCCTTCTAATACTGCCTTCCGAGGATTTGGGTTTCCCCAAGCAGGTCTGCTTATGGAGACCTGTGTTGTGGCTGTGGTGACCCAAACTGGCCTACCACATGAGAAGGTAAAAGAGCTGAGACTGCCAAATAAAACATGAGTTAACAGACAATTCTAAGACTTAGACTTAAGCTCCTTGTGCTTAAGCCACTTTTTGTAGAAAGAGATGTACCAACTTCAGTTGGACTGAATGGTACTTCATTCAGCTCCTATGCTTCCATGGAATAATACTTGATATAATACAGATGAAAGTGGAGAAAACTGGCCCAGGATCTGCTCCAAAACATTTGGTGACTGCTGTTAGCATGACCAGCTTCAGTCAAAATAATATTATCTCTTGTACTGTGTGACCAGTTTTAGATCACCTAGTGTATGTATAGCTGTCCCCTTGTCTCAACCTCTCAGAACTGAAATTACCAACTTTTCTAGGTATCTATGTATGTATGTATGTATGTATCTATCTATCTATCTATCAGCAGTTTGACTGGTGGCTCTGTCATCCCTGTCTCCCCAGCCTTCAGAGAGAGTGTCCCAACAGTTTTTATTGTTGCCATTTCCTCTCCAGTCTTCAAGAGCTATCCTTTCCTTACATGCTGCTTAACCCAGTGTGAGCTTTTCCTCTTTTATATGTGCCAACCTCTTGTATTTTCAAACTATGGTTTATAAATCATTTTACTTTCCTAGGATGACAACCATCATGTCTTTTCGCTATTTCTTTGAATCTTCTCCCTCTCCCATTTACTTGCTGTCCTTTACCACATTTCAGGAAAGCTTTCAGACACATCTCCAAGGGACAAACAGGTTTTTTAGCTTTTGAGCCATTTTAAGCCATTTGAGCAGTGATGGATAGGACATTATGTTTAACATAGATAAGTCTTAATTATATTATTGTATCATTATATGCCATGTCATTATATTGTATATAATATGCCAGTGTATTATAAAGCAATGTTTACTTTCAGCACTGAATTTGCTTGGTTTAGGTTAGGGAAATAAACATGTACAAAGGAGTTAACCTAACATCCTTCAAAGAAAAGTTTGATGCAGAGAATCTGTGGAAATGTTGGGAAGAATGTTTGGACAAATCTGACTACTACCATCGAAAAGCAATGGTGGAAGAATTTAACACTAAAAATTATTGGAAAAAGAAAGGAATTGCCATCATTCCAATGAAGTTTTCTGTTGGATTTAATGCAACTTATTTTCATCAGGTAACCCTTTCAACACAGTGCTTTTGTGATCTCAGCTCTCTATATTCTCTCCAAAAATAGAGGAAGTATAATCTCTACAGGCAGAAGGGAAAGAGAAAGGGAAAAGAATTCCAATATGCTGGACTAGCGCAAAATATTATTCCCTTGAGATATACTTTCAGGAAGAGTATCGCTCTATCTGGCCAATGTCTTTATAAATGCTTATAAGTTAGTAGTTTATTCCATCCCTTGATTGTTTCTGCACAAGTTTGTAGATGAAGAGCTCCAGGAGAGATCAGTATATTTCATCCAACAATGTTCTCATGGTAAAGAAACATTGAATCTAGGGAATATAATTCATCTGATACAAAAGGTTAAAAAAAGCATAAATAATAGTTATATTCCCCCAAAACCTTCAAAATAAAGCTCAGGCATTGCACTGAATTTCCAAATATCTGGATTTAAATCTTAGAGATTTATTGTTTAATCTTGTCTCTGTCAGCTAAGACTCTAACTGACAGCAGCAAAATGTCCCCTGTTTGCAAACACCACAAGCTGACACCAAAGAGATCACATGACCATTATTTGTCAATGTAGAATTGGTAACAAATAAAAAGGTGTCCCCAAGGCACTGTATTTCACAACACCTCTCAGGCTCTACCGTTTGCTCTGAGTGTTGGTACCTCGTTGAATGCCACACCGAAGCATCTCTTTACAGAATTTCTAGTTCTCTTTCATGTCCATTTATTCCTTTATAGGAGTGGATGTCTTCTATGGGATTGATTTCTTTCATCACCATTCCTTGGAAAGTTATTTATTCCCAATTTTACCATTAATTAAAGTTCATTACTTCAATTCCAACCTGCATCTTGCATTCCTCCTGTTTAAGATAGCTACTTATTGGGAGAGGGCTGCACCAAAATACAAGGAGTGAGTCAGGTTCTAAGCCATTCTCTTGACAGCCTAGCAAAGAGAAAGGAAGAGCAGTTGTGTCATTGCTCCATCAAAATTAGTTACTAGGAACATCAGTTTATTATTATCCTCCTCTGGACACATGCAAATCCCTCTGTTTCAGAAAAACAAAAGTACAAGTCCACTACTGTTTGTTCTAAAAGAAAAGTTCTATAGCTGTTCATTGTAGGAGATACCTTACCCTCTGTTGAAAGTGCCTTTGATTCCAGGTTCAAATTCTGCTCTGTCCTCCTTTTTCATCCCAGATGAAGAGGGAATAATAGCTGGGGATACGTACACATTATAACTAGAGCCAGCATGTCCTTACTTTACCCAATTTCACAAGAAGAAAAATGTGGTTTTCTGTTATTTGAACTAATTACTGTGATCCCTGCAGAACTCCTTTGAATAACTACTAGCTCATTTAAAGTCTGTCATGTCTTAGAACAGTGAAATTTGTTATTGTCAGACTGTTGGAGAATTTCCACTCCAGTTTAATAATATACTGATCTTGTAAATTAAATCTGTCTTTGCCTTGTTGGGGTATTTTATACACCTTTGTTCAGTGAAGTAAGAAAATCACCAAGTTTCTGTGGCTCTTCTTTAGGCTGGAGCTCTTGTCCACATCTATATAGATGGGTCTGTGCTAGTCACTCATGGTGGAATTGAACTGGGACAAGGAATTCACACTAAGATGTTACAGGTGAGTTAGTCAGTACCTGAGGGTAAACAAAATGTAAGGAGGATAACTGAGCAAAAAGGATGAATGGCAGTAAGAACTGTAATAAGTAAAATCTATAGCCATAAGAAAGATGAGTTTAATATTGAGTTGTTGCTTTTGAGTTATTGACAAAGACAAAGCTTCGGAAAAAAAACACAAGCAATAATCTAAGTGACCTTTCAAGACCTAGAAAGGAAAAAACATCTTTGTGGTAACATTACTGTTATCAGGACAGCTAGGGCACAGAAGGCACATGCAAAAATGACCCCAATGTTTTGTAGCAGAGAGAGTTAAAAATGCTGAAAATGTAACTTTGTTGTGTAACAAACATCAATGATAACATCACTTAATTTTTATGCATTTCGGGTGTAAATAGTGATAAACAAAACTATGTCATTTTGGAGCTAAAATAAAGCTACTTCTTCAAAATGGGCTGCATGAACATCGGAATATTAGAACACAGTGAAAAACAATAAGGTGGGAACACAAGCCATTTCAAATGAGATAGAAAATAAGATATACAGATGAGGAAGAATGATTCATTGTTTTTTGAATTTGATTAAATTTTCCATTTGTAACAAAAACCTTATTAGAGAGAGCAATTAGAAGCAAAACATACAGTATTGCATTGTATTGTTTTACCTTCTATTATTTATATAGAACTTACATATAAAACATTAGTTTTATGGAATAATTGTTAAGGAAAACAAGCATTTGTCCTGTTGAATTAGGTAATTTTTCTGTGTGTGCAAATATATAGGGAGATGAATTCTTGACTGCATCTCGATTGAGACTGGGTGGCTTTTTGTTTACTCTTATTACAGATTGCCAGTCGTGAACTGAAGATACCACTGTCATATATCCACTTCTGTGAAACAAGCACAACGACTGTACCTAATGGCAAATACACAGCAGGTTCAGTTGGTACTGAAATCAATGCAAGAGCAGTGCAGGTTAGACTTGTTACCATTTTTTCATATAATTAGTGATTCTGTTGAATACTAAGTGTCCCTCTGAGGATTCATATTTATTTTTTTGGTTTGGTTTTGGGTAGCTTGCAGTTCTTTATCTTGAAATTCCACTTGCTAGTTTACTTTATTTGCATAGTTTAAAGCGAGGCAAATTATAGAACACTGTTAAAAAGGGTCACTTTTCTCTGCTCTACTGTATCAGATTTACAAATGTGGGTGCTGTTCTTTTTTAGATTGCTGTTAGATGAATTTATGGATCTTCATTTTATTTTGTATTTAAACACAATTTAAAGGAAAATTTAGCATAAATTGTATTTCAGGTATTGTTTTTAATAGTCAGACCCTTAACCTTTTAAATGCTTTGGGACCAATTCGACTTTCATTTATTTTGTAAAATGAATCATTCCAGCCACTGTTTTTTCCATCTAGTATATCAAAATAGGAAGAGAGTCAAGTCCTTTATCTTCCTTTTCTGATGGTTTCAGCAATAGCCTGATACATGAATACTTCAGTTACATTAGAGCAGTTGCTAATGCCAGTCTTCACAAAGTGCTGCCTTCTAGCTGGCAGACAGCAGAGTAAAGAAATTGTACGTAAATGAACAGAATTACAGCCCTCAGAATGAATTTAACAAACTGATTTCACCAAGAAATAGCCCATATTGCTTTGAAATCAGCAGATAGATTTGGGGTTGTGGGTTAGTCACTGGTATCCAACCTTCCTTCTCCCTAGAATGCCTGTCAAATCCTTTGGAAGCGCCTGGAGCCTATTCGAAGAGACAATCCTGATGGCAAATGGGAAGACTGGGTAAATATCTCTCTCTGTTTCGTAGTGTTAAATTATGATAAACCTGTAAGTGTAGAGTGAAAGCTGACATTGTTCTGGAGGGAGAAAGGTGTCTCCCTGCATGAACTAAACTGGAAGTGAGAAAGAGTAAATAGGTGTAAAATGGTGTAAAAGCAAGTGGTACAACACAATGTTCTGGTGAATTTGGCCAACTTTAGTGGTTTTGCAATGCCCCCTGCTTCCTAAAGACATGTCCAGGGCACAAGCAAATATAAAGCTTTTACTCAGAGCTCTTTTTTTCTTTATTTTTTTTTAAGTTTCACTTTTTCTTTAAATGTGAGGTAAAGAATTTTTAATTTTCTCTCTTGAATAATGAGTATACTTTTTGCAGATCAGTGAAGCTCACAAGCAAAGCATCAATCTTTCAGCTACTGGCTATTTCAAGTAAGGAAAGACATTTTCTTTTTTAATTTCTCATCATTGGAGGTGTGACTTTGTCAATAGGTTGCAGGAAGGATAAAACTGGCCCCATTCACTTTTCTTAAGGCCATATCAGATGCAGCACACAAACCATTAACAACTTGTCTTGACCAGAGACTGCAGTGTTTAACAAGGAATTCTTTTCTTCAACCCATATGGATTTTGGAAGCACTTTATATCCTTGGTTAGCTATTCCACACAACATATCAGTGGTGCTACACTCCAGATTATCTTTGACTACAGGGATCCTATGAAAATAGTTAGCTTAAAGAGTTTATGTTACCAGAGAATCATAGAATGGTTTAGGTTGGAAGGGACCTTAAAGATCATCTAGTTCCAACCCCCTGCCATGGGCAGGGACACCTTCCACTAGTCCAGGTTGCTCTGAGCTCCATCCAACCTGGCCTTGATCACTTCCAGGGATGCGGAGTCCACAGCTTCTCTGGGCAAGCTGCTCCTGTGCCTCACCACCCTCACAGCAGAGAATTTCTTCCTAATATTTAGCCTAAACCTGTTCTCCTTCAGTTTAAAGCTATTAACTCACATATCATGATATATGATTCTTTTAGTGATCGCAACAGTGAGGACAAGGATAGGGAGTGGGAAGTATCTTGATCCAATTCATATAATGTTCTTACTTCCTCCAGAGGTTATCATACAAACATGAACTGGGACACACAGAAAGGCCATGCGTTCCCGTATTTTCTCTTTGGAGTTGCATGTTCTGAAGTAGAAATTGACTGTTTGACAGGAGCCCACAAGGTAATGTAAAAAAACACAGTGAACTTGAAGTAGAGTTGGATGAACTTTCCACTGTCATTACATTCCTATGACATTTTTTTCTCTTGCATTTTTTTAAATAAGAAGAGACATAGCCAGCAGAACAATAAATGGCTATAGTGCCCTTTATAATATCATTTGGTCATCCTTTTCTTGCAATAGAAGCCTGATGTTAACCAGAAAAATAAGAAACACTATGAGAACAGTGGAAAATAAAGGTTTAATGTTTGTACCATATGTGATGACTTTAAAATTCAATTAGACCTTCTGAACATCTCCCTGCAGGTTAAACCATATCATTAGTTACAGTCTCCTTTTTAACAGTTACATTTAAAACAGGTGAAGCCACAGTCACACAACATGACCTGTTGCAAAGGGGAGTTAGTGCAGGGAGAGCTCTCAGCAGCACTATATGGAGACCAATTCAGTGTCTTCTGGTTACTGCAGAAGCGTACTTGGCTGCAGAGGCTGCCAGATATCCAGTAGCCCATGTGGAGCTAGACTCCAAAATCACTGGAGTCTGTGAACCTTCTCAAACTACACCGTACTGGGATTTAAGAGAAGCCACTGGACATTGTATAATAACATCCCATGAGACATTTTTCCCTGTCCCCTTCTCTACATAAGGAGCTTCTGTTCAAGTGACTGTGCTTCCACACTCACAGCAAAGCACAGGAGATGGCTGGACATCACTTCAAGCAATGCAGTTTCTATAGGAGAACAAGCAACAAAGCCATTCTTGAATTCATGATCATCCTGTTACTTACAGGATGTGTGATGTGTGCATCACATTCCAAGTGTCAGACAACCACCAAAAATTGTTTATCTAAATGAAATCTCAATCTATACAGCCTGTCTCAAGTAGCTTTCATGTTTCAGAATAAATTTGTAATATTTCTGATAACACATCTTTCACGGATGAGACTGTAGATTATTTAGGATCCCTTTGTTGTGTATTTTAACTATAACTGTGTAACACCTTTTTTTTATTTAACAGAATATCAGAACAGACATTGTCATGGATGCCTGTTTTAGCATAAATCCAGCTATAGATATAGGACAGGTATGAATTTCCATAGTTTTGCTTTATATCAAATGTTACTGAAATTTCTATTTGTGCCAACATGATTGCTGTTATTGGTCAATTTAATAACTACCAAAGCCTATGAGACACTGCCCATTAACATTCAAGGATGTTAGATTGACAGATGGATTTGTTTTTATTCGTAGCTATAAATAATACTAAGTTACCTTTTTTACTTCTTGTTCATCCTCTGAGAAGTGATGAGAAAAATAGGTCCAACAGACTTGGGAAATGTCCTACAGGATTAGCACCCTGAATCTCCTTATGACTTTCTTCCTGAACAATTTACTCCACCCCAGACTGAGGGCTAAATCTTAACCAGCTGCAGAGCAGTGTTGACTTCAGCTGTGATGTAATGAAAAAGGCTGTTGAGATGGATCAGACCCTTCTTTAGAGGTCTGTTGTATCCATTGCTGTGTATTATGGATTCAACTACATGTATCTACAGACACACTGAATAGTGACAAAAGTGGTGTCACTCACTAGTAGTTTGTAAATGAGAAAGTAGTGGTGAACTCGGACTGTAAACAGTATTTGTTGTTTCTTTGCAGAGTCAGAGGAAATGCTCCTAAAAATGTGACCTACATTTAAAGCCTTTCTTATCCTGCTATTTATCCTATTCCACACTCATCCTCATATATTTGCCCTTCACCTAAAATCTTATATTCATTTTGCACATTCATGGACTGCCAAACCTGTCAAATTAAGTTCTTTCTTAGCAGTTTAATTCTATGTTCACCTTGCACCAGTGTTTACATCAACTACTGACACAGTCCAAGTGTCTGCTCAGCAGTTGTTCCTTCCTACATGATGTTGGTCTGTTATTTTCTCTTCATATCCAAACTATCACCTGTTTATGGCTGATATACTTGTCTCAAAGAAATTTTATTGGCTATCTGCAAATCTTTTAAAGCAAATATTAGATTGAGCAGATTATATATGTCATAGTCCCTAGACAAATATCTCCTCACTGGGGTTGCTGTGGATTTGACTCAATTCTATTTGGCAATTTTGCAAAAGCAAATCAAAGGTAACTGTACTAGTTACAGTGAGATTAGCCAGGAATAAGGAAGAGTAGAACTTGAGCCAATGAAAATATTTGTCAAAGTCAGATGAAGACAGCCTTGTCCTATTTGGGTCTTTGTTGATTAATAGAAAGATACCAGTTCATGTATAATCTTACTAATTAAGTCTGATTGTATATCTGTTTTTATCTTTTAAAATAACTGAATGAAATGTAAAAGTTTACCTTTTTTTCTTTGGTCAGATTGAAGGGGCCTTCATTCAGGGGGTTGGTCTTTACACATTAGAAGAAATCTACTTTTCTCCAAAAGGAGAGCAGCTCACTCTTGGCCCAGATACATATAAGATCCCTGCTGTCTGTGACATTCCTGAGCAGTTCCGTGTCTATTTACTGCCCAATTCACGCAACTCAATTGCCATCTATTCTTCCAAGGTAAACATGCCAAACTTACTGTTTGCAAGCACAGCAGGAGATTCTGCTGCAAAACCATGACTGTAGTGTATGGTATGGTTTGCATTTATTTTTGGGGGGAGGGGCAGCTTCAGCTATGGAGCAAATTGGACTTAAATGGTAAACACTGGTGTTCTCAGGTTTTGGACTAATGTTCTTTTTATGATTTATTGGTATTACAGTAGCACTTAGAAACCCCAATCAAAATTGAAACTTTTATGTAAAAGAACACAAAACTGTTGTGCTATAAATCAAAAGTGAAAAGGTCCATCTTGAAGAGCTTTAATTGGCCAAACAGGAGCACGGACGGAAAAAGGAAATATTGTTATAATTTTTAAAGGCAAAGAAGTGATGAGACAAGAGATTAAGTAACTTTCTAGAATCTCACAGGAAACTTGTGATAGGTATGGGAACAGAGCCCAGTTTTTCTATCAGCCATGGCAGAGCACCATTCTTTCTGTCCTAAGGGTACCTCACTCTCTCAGGAGGCACACAGTACTAGGACTGAGCACTGTTCATAGACTCAAAATAAAAGCAAAAAAAAGGCACCTCAGAATAAAAGGAGAACTAAAGGTAGGTGTAGACCTCAGGATACTAAAAGACAGGAATGCCCACAAGTCCAGCCATGAATCTAGAGCAGGTATAACAAAGTGCCATGGTTTAACCCCAGCAGGGAGCTAAGCCCCACAGAGCTAGCTGTTCACTCACTTGCCCCCCATGGGATGGGGGAGAGAATCAGAAGGGTAAAAGTGAGAAAACTCATGGCTTGAGATAAAGACAGTTTAAACATAAAGCAAAAGCTGCACACACAAGCAAAGCGAGATAAGGAATGGAATTCATTCACTATTTCCATCAGCAGGAAGACATTAATCGCCAGGAAAGCTGGGCTTCATCTCCTGTAATGGTGACTTGGGAAGACAAACACCAGAACTTCTTCCCCCAGCTCTGTACGCTGAACATGAGGCCATATGGTATATTCCATGCCATATTCTGTGACTTTGGGCAGTTTGAGACAGCTGTCCTGGCTGTGTCCCCTCCCAGTTTCTTGTGCCCCTCAGCCTCCTTGCCTGTGGGGTGCAGTGAGAGGCAGCAAAGACCTTGACTCAGTGTAAGCCCTGCTCAGCAGTAACTAAACATCCCTGTGTTATCAGCACTGTTTTCAGCACAAATCCAAAACACAGCCTCATACTGGCTACTGTGAAGAAAGTTAACTCTACCCCAGCCAAAACCAGTACACAAAGGAATAGAAATTTCCAGAAGTCTGCTTCATATTCTTATGGTCTTACATGGCATAAATGAGTAAAAAAACTCTTCCCCATGAAGAAAACAGACAGATTAAGAGCACAATTCTTATCAAAATTAGACAGCACAAACTTTATCCATGCAAGAGGGGCTAAGAGGACAGTGGGGGCGGGCAGTCTTTCTTCCTCTGTTTCATCATGAAGAATTAATTCCACTTGGATATAGAAAAGCTAGTCTTTGTGAGAAGTCATGAGTTATTTCATAGCTTTTTAACATGAGCACTGAAGTCCCAGTAGCTTTATTGTGAATTTTAAAATTATCCCCACCAGCCAAATTCAGGTCCTTGATGGTTTTCTGATTTTAAAGTTCTCAGAGATCCAAGGAAAATTGTTGAATCCAAATATGCTGGACATGACCAAATAGTGACCTGCTGTGATTCAGTATATTTCAGATAAATACAGCAGAAATGCGCTGATTTAACTCTGTGCTGGCAGTTTCTAAAGCCAGTCTCTCCAGCTGCCTCTCTCCTCTACCAGGGCATGGGTGAGGCTGGATTATTCTTGGGCAGCTCAGTGTTCTTTGCAATACGAGATGCAGTGGCTGCTACACGGAAAGAAAGAGGATTGTCCCTGGACTTCACACTGAACAGCCCCTTGACTGTTGAGCGGATTCGCATGGCCTGTGGTGATGTCTTTACTGAGATGGTAAGGTTATTTTCATTCCTTTCCTGAGCTGGCCAACTCCTTAATTCTCCTTCATCTGAATGGGCAGTGCGCCTAGATGAATCAGTGAGCCAAATCTCTTTTCTTCAACATTTAGCAGAGCTTTGCACTTTATTTTATCAGTGGCACCTTGTTCAGCCATGTTGACAGAGTAACATGAACTGACAGTCCAGAACTGAGGAACCTGTGCTGTTTCCTCAGTGGTAATGTTTCAATTTATTTATCTCCTTTAAACTAAAAGCCTTGAAAGTCCTTTTCAGATTATAGTTTGACTTTTTTCAGGCAGCAGCTTTGCAAAATTAACATTTTCTGAATTTGAACAACTCTATTGTACCCTAGACTGAAAATTTCTCTATTAAGAGAGACACAGTTTGAGTCAGGCAGACCTGCAGGCCCCACTCTTCCATTGGCAGCCAGCTAGAGACTCCCTGACCTCAACCTCCCTGGAGGTTGGGGCTGTGAATTCCATATCCATCCACTTCTGCTTCCTCCTGTGCAGGATATCCAGCAAGGTGTTTCACAGTGATAGAACTTCTCGTATTCATAGAAGTTATAACCGGGATAAGAACCTTTCTGGGCTAAGTGCTGTGCAAACACTCGGGAAAAATTCAGAATTTAAATAACGGCGAAGTTGTTATCCAGTCATCAGGAGTTGATGTTCTGTCTCCAGGAATGCCCTCAGAAATGTAGGATTTCTTTGCAAACATCATGGCTTCCATGATTCAAGCAGTGTCATTAAACCATATTGCATAATGGAACCTCGTATGTCCGTTCCTCTAATCTGAGCCTTTCAGGCTGTGAGCTCACCTCTGCTATGGAGATATGAGCTTAATTACCTGTTCAATTATCAGAATGCCACTGTTAACTAGAAGTAAGTTGCTTGATTTCACAAACTTTTATAACACGGGAAAATGGAGTTTTGTGCATGAAATGACATTTACATGGCTGATAAGGAACATGCATTTGTGAATTACAGTAAGTTCTTTTTTCCCCTTAGCAAAATGATGTTGTTTTCTTTATATTTTATTTCAGATTCCAAAAGACAAACCTGGAACCTATAAGCCATGGGCCATCGATATAGCTTAGTACTGGTTTCCTAAGTATAAACCAACCAGGTGATTCCTTCAGCCACTTACTGATCAAAAGCATTCATGCACGAAAGAACTGTAATACTCACATGCACACATGCATGCATATATATATCACACCATCTTTGCTGAACAAGATATAAGCACCAGTTCTATTGTAAGTCTCTAAGTAAAACACCTCTCATTAATGTGTTTCATGCTACCCTGGAATAGTTGGGGAGTTAACTCAAGAACTTCAAAGCATTTGCATGAGATTCTGAAAATATCTGCAGTGAAGAGCAGATCACAAATAGTACCATTTTGTCACTTCTACATCCAGTTTGAGAGCCACAGCTGTTGTTATCTATTTTTTCTGTTCTAACATATGAAAATCCCAAAGATCAGAATTAGACAATGTACAAATTAGTGATGGGCAATGCATCAATATTTCTGTAAAAGAGATATTCTGAAAGTACATACTGCCAAATATTTCTAGACACCGATATATTATTACCACTACAGTAACCACAGTAATACACCAGTAAAGCTTCTTTGCTTCCTGGCAGCCTACTTCAAGCCTGCTCCTTACCACCAGATCTCTTTGAACCACTATCAACTTCGACCTCTCCTAGAGCTGGAGTATAATCACTGCTATTCATTCACTGCCTCATCATCACTTGTTCCTCTTCTCCTCTTCCTTACCCACAGTTTTGCTCCTTCTTTCCAGCAAAATGGTGAAGCAGAACATAGCTGATGCATTCATCTGTAGGTGAGGAGAGGGCACAATGTGAGAGAGGTGTACTGGAGGTAGGAAGGGTTAAAGCAGGACAGGTTCCCAGTACCAGCTTCAAGTGACCATAACACAGGTCAGGTTGCCCATTGCAGCCGTCAGCAGGCCTGCACAGCAGATGTGTAGATGAAAAGGTGGAAGGGAGCAGAGCTGAGAGGAAAACAATGACAATAGAAGTTCATCATAGGTGTGTCAGCTCACAGTTTAACTGAGCTGTGCCAAACAACTGGCATTCTGACAGAGATTGTTTCGGAAAGGAGCTTTTAAAGTGATCCGGTGGCAGCTGTGTGCTCATTTCCCCATGAGGAGAGGAGACTGAAAAGCAAGTGCAAACGTATTTGAGAGGGAGAAAAGGGAATGGCTGAGCTAAGCCTACATAGTAATATATACAAATCAATATTCAACTTTGATATCTGATAGTTCAAAGCAATAAAATTTACAGTAAGAACACATTTAACAACATCATTGTGTACCCAAAACACTAGCATAAGAAATAACTCTGGAGATGCTTAACAGATATTCCATTAGTTCAGATCTTCATTTATATAGGCAGAAATTTAGGCTATTTTCATTTATTTTAAGGGTGAGGCTTAAATTAACTTAGTATAGAAGAGAGTGCAACCTGCACACACCCTCAAATAAGTCATGTTTAATTTAAATCTGTAGAGATACAACATGATTTTATTCCTTTACATGTAAATTAATATTGCAGGTAATAAGGAAATTTCTAGCTTATGTGGGTGAAGTTTTCCTGATCATTTCTCTTGGTAAATGGTGAGAAATTACAGCTAATGGGAAAAGCTCAACTGGTAGTAGACTTTGAAGTTTTGTAATATCAAAGACTTCAGGAAGCTGACAGTAGGAACTATTATGTCTTTTTGTTCCTTTCCGTAAAATGCAATTTTAATAATTTATCTTCTTGGCTTTTTACTTAATTGTGATTCAGACAAATCCTCTCCATTTAGAATGAGTACCAAAGTAATTGGGGTCTTGGGTTTAGAATGAATGGACAAATATTTGCAAATATTAAGGTGAAAATCCTTCCTCTGAAACTTCCTTAGGGTATTTTTGAATGTAGTATTTTGGGGATTTCATTGGGCTGTTAACTGGAACCTGTAAAAATGTTTCTTGAATAAAAGCAAACTTGTAAGGCTGTCCTGCTATTTTGTGACACTGGGATCTATAACCAATATTGTTTCAAGGAAGCAATAGTAACAAAAATGGTATGAGATGAAATCTGGCTCCTACTGACAATAAGAATGACCCCACTTTCCACTCCTGAAGCACTGTGATGTGTTCCACTTATACACTGCAAGAGCTTTAGTCACAGGAACATTATTCTTTATGCCTGGTGGAGATTTGCTGCTGTGTGAGGTCTAGAAGGAAACTTGTGATCTCTAGGTTAGTTTAGTGGTTTGGCCTTTTGGGGAGCAGAGAACTGAGTTGCATCTCCCATCCTACACCAGCATGTCCTACACACTATGCTGTGTTTTTTTGTCTCCAGTTATGTGCTGCTGTGCGAGTTTGGTAGCATGGTTTTTAAAGTACTTACAGCCCCTTCACTAACACACTGGTTTTGTTTATGCTGTTTGCAAATGGACACAGACTGTCCCACAGCCTGAAGGTAGGATGAGACCTGTTATCATGATTGGTAGTGGAAGAACCTGTCTTAACGGCAGCAGAGAAGGCCTGTGCTTCTGGAACTCAAGGACTTTGTTGTGTGTCAGATGTGAGCAGCTTTTAACTGGTAATCCTGTCTGCACAGACTACTATATGTCAAGTGTTTATATGATGATGTTATCATCAGGATTGGAGGAACAAGGCGATTATTAAAACTGCAAAAGCAAATCCAGGATCAAATAGCAGAGCAGACCCGGCATTGATGCCCAGTGCCCCGCAGGACTCGGTGTTCCCCCGGCGCTCCTTATGTGCCCGCGCTCTCCTCGGACGCGCTCCCTCCCGGACCGGGGCTCGGCCACGCAAGCCCCGCGGGCCCCCCCTGCGGCCGGAGAATGGCCAGGGCAGGGCGGGAGCCCCGCCCGATCCCCGCCCTTTTTCCCTCCATGCTCTCCGGCGGGGCGGGGCGGAGTACGGCCCTCCCCTCTTCCTCTGGCGTCGGTTCCGCTCGCACAGCTCTCTCTCCGCCGCTGCTCCTCGCCGCCGCTCTCGCCCGTCTGCGCTCCGGGCCGCTCGGGCGTTTTCTCTCTGCCTTAAAGTCGGTGAGCAGACGGGCGCGGGCGGGGGGCGGCCGGCGGGGCCGGCTGGGGCAGCCCGGGCCGCGAGGGCCGCGCCGCGCTGCGCTCGGGTGGAGGCGGGGGGGAGTCGGTCCCTCTCCGCCCGCCCCCGCACGGGCACCGGGAGCGCGGCGGGGACAGGGAACCTCCCGACGGGCTCCGTGCGGCGGGGGCGGAGGGCCAGAGGCGCCGCGGCGGCCCCGCGCGAGCCC